TTTTAGATATAATTCTATTGCACACTTAATAGACTACAGTGTAGTGTAAGCATAACTTTCATATGCACTGGGAAACCAAAAAATCCTTGTGACTTGCTTTATTGTGACACTCCTTTTATTATGGTGGTCAGGAATTGAACCTGCAATATCTCCGAGGTATGTCTGTAGTAGGTCAGCAAAGATTCCAGCCTTGGCTATTTATTCACTTAGTGAGTGCAAGAAAGAGAGTAGGTTTTCAGGAGGAAATAATGAGTACATTTTGGGCCTGTTCGGTGACGCGACAGTGAGCTATTCAAATGGAGATACCTAGATGTTAGTTGGATATATGTATCTTATGTTCAATGGCCTTGGATAAAAGGGATGAATGGATGTGACTGCAGGCAGGTTTGTAGGTTTGTGGGCAAAAAGTCAAAGGCATCCGTTTTCTCAGTGGACTGAGGTAAGATCATCTGCCTAAAATGAGAGGAAAGGTGCCAAGGCCAGAGGTTTTAGGAGAATAAACATTTTTTAAAATTAAAAGATCATAAGGCATCATTTAGGACTCATTTGAAGTTAATGAATTTATAGAAGCATTAATTCTCATAGTTTGTGATTTTCCTCCAGCCATGTTTAAAAGAGTTAAAGACAGTGCTAGACACCTATAATTCAACTATACAACATGTTTACACCTGATCAGGGTAAGGTGATCCTTGTTTATCCTTAGGGCTTTAGAAAATGTAATTATGTGATTAGTATGTAGACTAGTAAATGGAATTACTCTCTCTTAATGGCTGTAAAATATGTCCTTGGTGGGGGGGGAGTCAATCCTCCCTGCTACAAACTCTTTTTAGATAAACAACTTTTGATCCATTTAAACATCTTTGGTAACCTACCTTGATTTTGTTTCCTGGACCACATCTGAATATCTGAAATGCAGGTTCAGATCATTGATATTAGAAAATTCATATCTCTTTTTGCAAAACCTGACTCAACTAATCGTTTAGGATTATACTTGTTACAATGCAGCTGTGAATTTTGGTGATGGATCAGAATTTTGAGGCTACTTGTAAAAGGAGACACCACTGGATGTTAAGAAATGAAGATAAAGAAAACCCACATTTTGTACCAAAATGTTATTTGTGGGAAGAGGGAGAATATTTAAATATAAGAGCTGTTTATGAAGATTTTTTTTTAATTGATACTTACTGCTCAAAGGTAACTTTCTGTTATTTAAAAAAAACATTTTAAACAGTAAAAATAATATAGGCTTATTGTAGATATACATATATCTGTAATTATGTTTAAATAGGATTAAAAATGAGTCCTAGTTCAGACCTGCTCCCCTCTCCAGACATAATAGCAGTTAAGTTCAGTGTGTACCCTGCTGACCTTTCTATCTACTTAATCTATAAATAAGGTTTGAACTAGGGGTAGGGAATGGGGCCTTAGGGGTTTTTTGTTTTTCCATTTAATTTTTTGAATAAATGGTTCAAAAACAAGAAAGGGTAAAAATCTACAGTGAAAAGTTTTCTGCCCATCCTTGACTCTCACCTCCAGAGTTCTCACCCATCCACTACAGGTAACCACTGTTTTTAGTTTCTTATGTATCCTTCCAGGGTTTTTTTTATATGTTTTTTTATACAGAAGGCAGCAAGTATATTATACATAATGCTGCTTTTTGCCTTTTTGTTTATGAAATATATGATCTTCACAGCAGTAACTGCAGAGCACCTTTCCCCCCCCTTTCTTTAGATTTTTCTTTTACATATGTATAGTATTTCATTGTGTAGCTGAAAATTTGGTATCACAGTAAATAGACTTTTTTTTTTAATTTTTTAAATAGATTTTTCACTCTTTTATGGCTTCTGAATTTTGAGCCAGTTAGAAAAGCCTCCCTTACTCCAGAGTTGTAAAGGAATTATTCTCCCATGCTTTTATTTAGAAATTTTCTGATCTTTTTTCACATTTAAAACTGTGATCTGTTTGGAATATTTTTCCAGGTATTTTCCCCTGCAAAAGATTTATTGAATAATTATCTTTTTCTCACTGGTTTGAGGTGCCACCTTTATTGTGTATTAACTTCCCTTACGCACTTGGATTTATTTCTGAATGCTTTAGTCCATTTGCCTGTCTATTCATAAGTCATTACCACAGTATATTAATTATTGAAGGTTTATAGTATATATCTAATAATGAGCATCTCTCATTGTTCTCCCTCCTCCCCCAAATTTTGTTTACTATTTTTGTTTGTTAAGTTTGCAGGACCAGGCAACATTATGTTCTGTTATACATAAGGTCGCTATGAGTCAGAGCCAGTTTAATAGCAGCTAACAACAAAGTTCATATTGCAAACAATAGTCTGTCTAGCTGTCCACATTCTGCCTTCCCCCCACAAAAACTGTATGGAATCTTCATAATTTTCTAAATTAGGGACAATTAACTTCTTTAGGATGATGAATCTTCAAATTTAAATACTTGTATCACTATGTAATGGTTTTCTATTTTTTTTTTAGTGGTGTCACCATTTTCTTTTAGCATTCGTGATACTACAGAACTGGAACCATATTTACATGGAGGCATAGCTGTCCAAGTTAAGACTCCTAAAATATTTTACTTCGTAAGTATTTTTTTTTCTGCTATAAAAAAATATTTCTTTACAGGAGAAGAATGGCAGAAGAGAAAAATTAATTAAATACAGTTAACCAAGCAAGTAATTAAATGCTGAACAGATTTTTGTTTTTTGTTTTTTTTAATTTGCACTCACTTTGAGGAAAATAGAAGTACCTAGGTGGTGCAAACTGTTAATTTACTCACTGCTAACCAAGAAGTCATGATTTGAGTCTACCCAGAGGTGACATGGAAGAAAGGCCTGGTGATTTACTTTAGAAAAATTAACCATTGAAAACCTATGGAGGACATTTTTCTCTGAAACACATGGAGTTGCCATGAGTTGAAGTCAACTCAAAGGCAACTGATTTGGTTTTGGTTGAAGAAAATGAGATCAATTTAAGGAAATAGATATTAAAAAAAAAAAAACTTGCAAACCTTCTATTGCTAGAGTACCATGTGCATATAATTGAGGTATATAAGAATACCTCAAAGGAACTACACCTTCCTGAATCATTAAAGTATTGATGATACTTCTTATAATTTACTCTGTAAAACAAGACATTAAACTAATGTATTTTAGAAAGATTTAGCAGGGGTTTAGACAGTATTTTTTGTTTTATTCAGTTATTTAAATTGAGTAAAATTATTTGAATAAGTGATTATAAAGTTTAATGGAGTAACCAGTATATACCTCTCTGTCAAGTTTTACTTCTTTAAAGTAAAAGAAATATTGCTTTTATCATACTTGTTAATCCAGAGTGTTCAATTTTAATTTAATTTTTTAAATTTCAAAAACAGTATATATGTTAACGTGTAAAATAATTCTGTAGATTTCTGACATTGAAAGGAAAATGCAAATAGCCAAATAGAATGTAGAGGCTACTTCTGTGGGGAACTAAGGGGTCTTCTGCTGCTTTAATCGTTAGACCACTTCGCAGTATAAGCTGTTTGTCTAGCACATCACTGTTTTTTTCTTCCAAATTCCCAAGGTTTTAACTTGTTTGCCTTTTGTTTTCCAGAACTCTAAACAGATAAAATACTCTACAAGGCTTTCTCTAAGCTAGTCAGATCTGCCCCTGCATACCTTCTTTTGCCATTGTGTCCGAGTTCTTAATTGGATAGTTTATTCCTCAAGTTTTAGATAGGGTGGGTGTTTTGCATTTGGGGTTTTGGGGTTTTTTTAGTTTTTGTTCATGTTGTTTGCCTTTGTTCTACACAGAAAAAATTAAGTATTCAAAGCTCATAAAGCATAACAAGTCTTATTAACTTGAGATCAGGAAAATATGGTAACTTTTAGATTAAAAACGTAGATTTTTTTCAAATATACAAATGTTTTCAGCAATTCTTCCCAAATTTACTTGGTGGAACAAGTTGTCTTATTGCATTTAGCACATATAAAAATATATATATATGTATATATGTATGTGTATGTATATATATACATGTATATGTATGTATATACATATATGTATGTGTATGTATATACATATATGTATGTACATAGTGTGGTAATAAGACGAGGGAGAATGATAGCTATTTTATATTTTGATGAAAACGTATTAACCCAATCCTATTTGTTTCAGACATTTGGGACGATCTGTTGCTTTTAGTGCTCTGACATACAGCAGTGTATTTTGTCAGACTGCATAATCACTCACTCTGAAGTTATAATTTTCTTTTTCTATTAGGAATCACTAGAGAAGCAGATAAAACATGCAAAGTGCCTTATTGCGGATTTTAGCAAACCTGAGGTAAATAAACACTTTGCAGGGTTGAGAGAGGCAGCAGAGTGGGGGAGTGGGGATTGGTAAGTGATTATCAAATTAAAATGGAATAACCGTGTATATGTCTTTCTGTGAGGTTTACTTAATAAATGTTGTGCCCACATATTTAAAGTTGTCACTGGAAAATTAAAAGTGGGAATTTGTATCATGAAAACATGTTAGAAAATGGAAAAAATGTTTTAATTTTTAATGACTTGCTAGCATTGATAGTTAAAAAATAATTACAATAATTTATACAAAGATAATCATATTAAAGGTTTTTCTGGACTGTGTAGTGTTTTATGAGATACCTATTTCTTCCCTCCTCCCAACCAAAAAAAAAAACCTTGGAAGCATGTATTCAGTTTTTTTTTTATCACTGGATATAATTTTATATCAGTAAACATATTTGTGATAAGGAAGCAGTTATATTAACAGTTTCTAGATTTGTAAATTGATAAGTAAAAAGAATTAGGTAATCTTGTACAGATATTTTGTTGCTCTTGTTCAGTTGATATTACTGTAAGTTTCATATGATGTGACCTGTTAAAGACTAATCAGACCACCTGGGGTTCAAACTTAGATAAAACCTTTATGACAAATACTTCTCTAAGCCTCAGTTTCCTCAACTGTTAAATAGAGATAATAATAGTACTAATACATTTATTGTAAGGATTAAATTAAATAATCTTTTTAAAGCACTCAGCACAGAGTCTGGCATGTAATAAGTACTCCATAAATGTTGGCTAATTTTCAATGTTCTAAATAGGCGCCATTACAGATTCACACAGCTATGCTTGCCTTGGACCAGTTTCGGGAGAACTATAGTCGCAAGCCAAATGTTGGGTAATGTTTGTTGTTTAAAAATAACTTTTTTCTTTATTATAAAAGCAGAATCTTACACATTTACCCATTTTGTTGAAGGCTTTGAGTTTTTTTTTAAAGCTATAGCTTTTTAAAACCAAAAATTTGAAAATTATTGAATTATTAATCCACTATGTATTTTTTCCACCTGGCCTATTAATACTAAATCATAAGTACTGTTGCAAAAGTTTATTGCCTCGTGTATTTAAAACTAAATCTTATTTATATACTATCCTTAGGTGAGCTGATCATAGCATGATTTTGAAGCAATGTATTTAGTTCATAAGTCAGTTACATTTAAGTCAGTGAAGCACTTTGTGTTATTGGCGCAGTTCCCCATTCTTTTTCATATTTCTTAAATTTTACTTTTAAATATGATCAACTCTTTATGACCATTGAGAAAATAGAACTCTGGGTGCTTTGTGTTGAATCCTAGATGCCAACAAGATTCAGAAGAACTGTTGAAACTAGCAACATCTATAAGTGAAACCTTGGAAGAGAAGGTGAATATTCAAAATTATGTCCATCAGAATTTTTGTTCCTAACATGTAAATGTCTTATCCTTCAAATCTTAGCTTTTCTACTTATTAACTGTGTGACACTAGGCAAGTTCCTTGACTTAGGTATTTTTTAGTTTATAAATCTATAAAATGTGCTGCAAAGAATAGTATCTACCTTAGAGGATTGTTGTGAACATTAAATGATTTAATTTTGTAAAGTACTTAAAACCATACATAACATGTAGTAAATAAAATGTTTGCTGCTTCTGTTATATTATTCATATTAGTATTGTTCTTCTTTATCATTCTGTTCCAATTTACTTGGTTTATTAACCCGCCAAAACTTCCCACATAAAGTCTGCCACTTTCCTCTACCTCAGCTCATACATTGTATATTCATACATTGTATATTCATATCCCTTCATTGTATTTTATATATCAGATTTGTGGTGTGTGTTTATTTACAGAAAAATTAAATAGAATCTTAGGAGATAGTGTGACATAATGGTAAGAATAAAGCTATGTAGTTGGACTTCTTCGCTTCATATCCTGGCTTTACCACTTACTAGTTGTGAAATTTTTAGTAACTTATTTAACCTTTCAACTTTTCAATTTTCTCATTTGTAGAAAAGGAATTATATTTAGTAGATTTGTTTTGAGAATTATATGAGAACTTAATATACAGTATACAGTAGGTGCTCAGTCAAATTAACTGCTTATATTATTCTTGTCATTGTTTTTAATATCACCACCATCAATATCTTAGTATTCAAAAATGGCTCAAGTTAAATCTAAATCATAGGCCATCTGAGTCAAGGTTAATGCTAAATAGGAGAAAGAAAGGATGACAAGTAGTTGAAATATAGAAAGTTGAAATGGAGTAGGTGGAGTAGTGAGCAGATATTAATCTTTAATGGCATCACAGATCTCTTGAGAATACAATTGAAGCCCTTTTAGGAGACTAATTGAGCCCTACTTGAAGTTTAAGGTTAAGATTAAAGTTACTGATGTTAAAAGAATAGGAAGAGAAAGACAACCAGCGCTTATGAAGTGGTGTTTGTCACAAAAATTGTGCTAAAATAGTAGTTCCAAAATCACTTCTCCAACATTTTCTTAAAAATACTAATTTTATTTTGAGAAACATGAGAACTTTTTTCAGTTTTTAAACAGTGCTAATTGGGAACTTTCTCTGTGATGATTGGCTCTTAGATTAATATGTTGCTATATATTAGTCCCGTACTAATTTTTTCTAAATTCCCTTTTAACTATCTTTTTAACAATATATTGCTTCATTATTCATCACAGTTTTAGTTTTTATTACCACTTCCAGCACTGATAGCTTCTTATGGATTATTTTGTTTTATCTAGGTTCAGTGAAAACTACTCGTTGTTTTAATTCAGAAAACTTCTTTTTTTTTTAATTCTGTTGATTTGTAAATATTGACTGACTTATATAGAACAAGTACTTATCAAAAATATTAAATGGTCAATATTCCAGTTAATTCTACATGATGCCCTCATGTAACATGTAGAGTCAAAAAGCAAAAATGGGCAGATACTGCTAAAGGGAAACACTGCTTAAGATAACATGCAAAGGTGGCTTTTATCATGAGGTTGAAACATTAAAAGCTGTGTGGGAGGGAATTGAGTTACACCTTCTCCTCACTTATCAACTGTCTCGTTATCTGACATTTCACATTTAAGACAACGGTAAAAAAAAATCTACAATCCAACTATTTTGAACATTAACAGCTTACACCTGGCAGTAACGAATGCTGAGGTGCAAGGCGAGAGTAACGCTGGCTTTGATGGTTAAGGTTATGTGTCAACTTTGCTGGGCCATGATTCTCAGTGGTTTGGCAGGTATGTAATGATATAGTCATCCTCCGTTTTCGCATAACGACCTGGAAGCTAACCATATCAATAAGTGAGGAGACACTGTACTTTTTTAGAAGTTAAGATGTAATAATTCTCACATTAAGTCATTGAAATTTTAAGTGTACTATTTGAATACTATTAGCATTATTATCTTTTATGGCTTGTGTTTCAGCCTGAAGTAAATGCTGACATTGTGAATTGGCTCTCTTGGACTGCTCAAGGCTTTTTAGCCCCACTTGCTGCAGCAGTAGGAGGTGTTGCCAGCCAAGAAGTGTTGAAAGCTGTGACAGGAAAGTTTTCTCCTTTGTGCCAGTGGGTTAGTTCTGTATTTTAATATTTCTGTATGTTTAAGTTTGAATTCCTCAACCATACAGTGAATGTGTGTTGTGTATTATTACATATTTTTAATTGATATATTTTAAAACCAACCTTAGAGTGTTTTTTAGGGGCATGAGAGAGATGAGAGTAATATACCACCAAAACTTAATTCTGTAATTGAAACTAACAAGATCATATGTTGAGACTATTAGAATATTACCCACAGTTGCAATCTAGGATGTATTTCCCACAATAGTGAGAATAAGGGAATGAATTTTCCATCCTTACAGCTTTTGGTTGGTCGTCAAAACTATTAGCTTTTTTTTTCTCCCAGCATTCTTGAACTGGTTTCATGTAATATTTAGACATTATGAATCTTCCCTTTCTGGTGATAAATTTCTGAAGAACATAGGAATGGTGCCAGTTTGAGACAAACTGCAAGGTCTTAGGGTACAGTCCCAAAGATTGCCCTCACTTCTGAAACCAGCTGTAAGGAGAGTGGTCACATAAGTACCTTCAGATTCAATAATTCCCTAGAAGGACTTAGAAGTCATTAAAAGTTATACTCACAGCCATAATGTATTGCAGGGAAGTATACAAATTGGAACCAACCAAAGGGAGAGACACATAGGGCAGAGTCTAGAAGAGTTCCAGATTCTGAGCTTCTATTCTTAGGATATATTCCCCTTTCAGAATTGATGTGTGGCCTAGGAAGTTCACTCAAGCTTTGGTGTCCAGAGGTTTTTTTTTTGACACTTCATTACTTAGGTATAATTAGTTGAACTCAGTCTGCAGGGGCACCCTTCTCCACACAGAGATTGAGCTGATTTCACTCCAAAGGGCCCACCATGAGTCCTATTATTAGCATAAACTATCAGATGTGGTTCCAGAGGCCCACTATGAATAACAAAGACACTGTTATCAACTGGGAAATTCCAAGAGCTTAAAGGTTGCCTCCCCAGGAGCCAGGACAAAGGCCAGACATCTCTTTGGATGAGGCAAAAATTTTTATAACACGAAAACCATAAGTAGGATAAAAACCTCACAAGATGAAATAAAAACTATCCTTTCTGTTACCAGAAGGAGTATTAGGCAGAGCGTATCAATGGACACTCTCTTCACGACGTTTCTTTTTTGAAACACGTTAAACATTTTGAATAGTACATTCATCATTTTTTTGTGTTTAAAAAAGTATACACATAATGCTATTTTGCTGCTGAATTAATTTGTTTTTTTTTTTATTTAACTTCTATGAATTTTCTATTTTCACATCATTATAGTAAACTAAATTTATTTTTTTTTAATTGTACTTTAGATGAAGGTTTACAGAACAAACTAGTTTCACATTAAACAGTACACATATTGTTTTATGGCATTGGTTAACAACCCCACCACATGTATTTGATTAAATTTAACAGAATTAATTTTTAAATTCAGTCTGATTTAGCTGCGACTATTCACATCATGAGAAGTATAAGTTAGCTATGTTATTAATATAGATTCTGTGTTGTCATAATTAAATAAATAACCATTTGGTGATGTTCAAGTTTAGCCAGATAAGTTGCTTAAATGAAAATGAGAGTGAGACTCAGTTCTTTTATTTGATTAACTTACTGCTTGGTATTTAAATGCTGGGAATTGTGGACTTCCTAAATCATTTCTTCTATAGTATGTGTAATTATATGCGATACGTGATGTATCCAAACTGGAAAATAAATACAGATGAGATTCTTTCTTCTCAAAAAGTTATCAGATTACTTATTCAGTTTTAGCTAGGACTGAATGGGGCTTCCAAAGTTTTTATGTTGTTATGGAAAACAGATTTGAAGCTAACATTTCCTGTTGTTAAGATTAGCATATATCATAGTCCCCCCCCTTATTCGTAGGGAATGGAAATATGTTCCAAACTGCCCCCCATAGATGCCTGAACCCACAGATAGTACCGAACCCTAAATATATATTTTGTCTTAGACATATACACCCATGATAAAGTTTAATTTATAAATTAGGCACAGTAAGAGATTAACAGTAACTAATAGCAAAATAGAACAGTTATGACAGTATACTATAATAAAAGTTATGTAACAGAGCGAGATGGCACCAGATTTCATCACACATTTTTGGATCACAGTTGATCAAAGGTAACCAAAACCGCAGATAAGGAGGGACTACATAGGATGGCTAAGAGGTGTTAAGTTGTATCTTTTAACATTTCTAAGTTTTATCATTTTAATGAGAATATAACAATTTATATTGTATAAAAAGTAATTATATTTTATAATCTGTTATTTTTGCTCTGAATTAGCATTTTTATCTTTTTTCGTAATTATTAAATAATGACAGAAGACAGTATCTTCCTTTTCTAGTAATTTAACTTTTATAAATAATAAATTGTGTTTTTTATCTTCTACTTTAAGTTATATATCGAAGCAACAGATATTGTCGAATCACTAGGCAAACCTGAATGTGAAGAATTTCTCCCAAGGTAATACTGATGTTTCTGTTACTTTTTCTTAGTTGTATGTTTGTAAGAAACAACTAGATTAAAATAATTTTTGTCTAAACATGTTTTTGTTTTAGATGTCTTTTCTCCTATCTCATTTATTTACTTCTGTAGTCATTTCTTCTCTACTTTAGAAGGATACTTTGTGTCATGATACTGTTATCTTTTAACCATTTTATAAACAATAAAGTTTTAAGTTGTATATCATGAGAATAGTTCAGCATTCAGAATACCATATTGATATTAGATGAAACTATCTTCATTTTTATTTTTATTTGTATTAGTGTTCTTAATCTATAGTCATTCTCCCCAAAATACACATAACCCAAAGTGCTGCCTTCAGTTTAAGTAGATTAACAACTTCAAAGCCCGTCCATAGGCTCCTCTAAGAACCTTTATTAAAAATCCCTGCCCTAGAGAATTGCTTTTTCTAGATAAAAGAAGTCACTATCACTTAAGTCATTTGGACTTACAATAAGTCAAATAGAAAAGGAAAAACTAACTCCTTTATGGGGCCTTTTCTCTTTCAAATACAATAGCTTATCTGGTAGATTAGGGGAAACTGAAAAAGCATTCTGTTTTGAAGTACATCATTAAATTGTATTAACGACCATGAAACTAATCTTAATACTGTTTATGCCTGTTTTCTTGGTATGTGTTGTTTTCTTCAGAGGGGATAGGTATGATGCCTTACGAGCCTGCATTGGAGACTCTTTATGTAAGACGCTACAAAATTTGAATATCTTTTTAGTAAGTATGAATAATGATTGGAATAAGTACATTCATACTGCTGTTGTGTGTATCATCAAGTTAATTTATTAAAGGAGATTTGAGTCTAACCAAGTACAGTTTCTAACGGAATAGATATTCATTAAATGTTTCAGGCAGGAGTTGGCAAACTATAACCTGTGGGCCAGTTCCATCCTGCTGCCTGATTTCATAAAGTTTTATTTGAATACATCTGTCCTAGTCATCTAGTGCTACCATAACAGAAATGCCACAAGTGGGTGGTTTTAACAAAGAGAAGTTTATTTCCTCACAGTCAAGGTGGGCTAAAAGTCCAAATTCAGGGCATCAGCTCCAGGGGAAAGCTTTTTCTCTCTCGACATTCTCAACAGTGTTCCCCCAGACTAGGAGCTTCTCAGCGCAGGGACCCCGGTCCAAAGGACGCGCTCTGCTCCCGACCCTGCTTTCTTGATGGTATGAGGTCCCCCTGTCTCACTGCTCACTTCTGTCTTTTATATCTCAAGAGATTGCCTCAGGACACAATCCAGTCTTGCAGATCAGGTCCTGCCTTACTGACACAACTGCCACCCATCCTCCCTCATTAACATCGTAGAGACAGGTTTACAATATACAGGGAAATCAGTACCAGGAATCATGGCCTAGCCAAATTGATACACACATTTTTTGGGGGGACATAATTCAAACCATGACAATATCCAAGCCCATTTATTTATGTGTTATCTATGTCTTCTTTCATGCTACCATAGTGGCATTGAGTAGTTGTGACAGAGACCATATGGCCTGCAAATTTGAAAATATTTACTGTCTGTCCCTTTACAGAAAAAGTTTGCTGACCCCTAGTCTAAAGAATTAGTCAATTTAAAATTAAAATAAGAGTGAGTAGTTTTGAACATTAAATGATTTTCCAGATATACCTAAATAATTGATTGGGCTTTTTTTTTCCTCATTGAATATAGATAGATTATAGATGTAAAAAATTCTGTCTTTCTTAAATGTCTTGGTGCATTGGAAGGGAAGCTGTAACTTTTCCTGCCTTTTATGTTTTTTTCTGATTATAATTGGTTCTAAAATCCTACTGATTTTTAGTAATCATCTTTTAAATAATCTTTTGAAAGTCAGCAGCCCCTGATGAGCTTGTAAGTGCTGTCTTAGCCAGGGTTTTCTAGAGAAACAACCAGTGAGATATGTAGAGAGAGATTCATTTTGAGGAATTGGCTCATTGGATTATGGGGGCTGAAGTCCAAAATCTGTAGGTCAGGCAGCAGGCTGGAAATTTTGACAGATTTATGTCCCAGAGTTGATATGTCAGGTGATAGGGAAGAGAAGGAATTCTGGCAAGATGTCTGTTTAGAGTCTGGAGGCAGAATACTCCCTAGGGAAAACTCCCTTTTTGCTGTTAAGGCCTGATTGGATGGAGCCCACTGAGGTTATGGAGGATAATCTACTTTATGTAATACCCACTGAATTAATCACAGGTAACTACTTCATAGGAGCCCTGGTGGCTCAGTGGTTAAGAGCTCGGCTGCTAACCAAAAGGTCGGCAGTTTGAATCCACCAGCCGCTCCTTGGAAACCCAGTGGGACAATTCTCTGTCCTGTAGAATCGCTATGAGTTGGAATTGACTAGACAACAAGAAGTTTGGTTTCATTTGGTAACTACTTCATAACGGTGTCTAGACTAGTGTTTGACCAGACAGCTGGGCACCATAGCCAGCCAAGTTGATGCATAAAATGAACCATCACAAGTGCATATGGAGTATACTATTACCAGATTTATTTAAAACTCATAATAGGAAAGTCTTAGAATAGTTCTGTCAATCAATTGAATCTTGAGAAATGCCTAAAACCAAGGAATCTTTTTCATTAAAATGTTGTAGTAATGTTTTGTGCTCTTTGTTTCTATTTTATATTAAAAATGAGCTCAATGTTTGCCTTTTGTTTTGAATTTAAAAATATCTTCTGTTTAACAGAATTACAAATATTACTCTTTTCCTTATTTGGTGTATACATTTTTTTAATTGAGATACTTGTAATGGCATCATGAATCTCTTTATGCTAAATGTATTAGAGTAAAATGAGTCACAGTTGTTCAAGTTATTTAAAAATGTATGTATCAAACTTAGCATTTGAAGAAAATTAAGATGAAATTGCTATTTAGTAAGTAGAAGTTCTTGGTTTTATTTAATCTGATTAACTTCATTTTTCTCTTCCATAGGTAGGATGTGGAGCCATAGGCTGTGAAATGCTAAAAAACCTTGCTTTACTTGGTGTTGGCACAGGCAAAGAGAAGGGAATGGTAAATAAATCCTTCAGAGTTCAAAGTTTATATTTCTGTTGCTGTCCGTTTTGAACTGTATTTGACTGCCTAGATTTGAAGTATTGATTTTTGAGTCTGGGGCATTAAACTAGAAATTGGAAGATCCTAATTATAGTCTGGAAACCTTGGTGGTGTGGTGATTAAGAGCTATGGCTGCTAACTGAAAGGTCAGCGGTTCGAATCCACCAGGTGCTCCTTGGAAGTGCTGTAAGGACAGTTCTGCTCTGTCCTGTAGCGTCGCCATGAGTCAGAATTGACTCGATGGCAACAGGTGAACAGGTTTTAATTGTACTCTGACCACTTCTCAAAAGTTAAAGACTTTGTTACAAAGTAAAGCCTCTGCTCCTTAGTTTCCTTCTGTAATACTGTTAAACCAGCATCTGCACTACCTACTTCATCATCTTATTATGGATATAAATATAAAAGGGCTTTGCTGATTATTTTTCTTGTTATTTCTATTAGACATTTCTTATTAATTGGTAAATAAGTCTTTAAGATGAGAGAAGCTAACATTAGAAAGTAGCAGAATGCTCAGAAGTAGTTTCAGTTGGCAGTTATCCAAAGAAGTTGAAATAATATAAACTTTTATATACAGTTTAAATTCTTCAGATTCCATAAATGTGAATTGATTGCAAAGCCATGTCACTTGTTTAAACAAAAGTATATTTCACCGGTACTCTTTTGCCTTTACAATAAAAACTAGCTTCCAAGGATAATGATTTCATTGCTTTATTATGGTGATTAACAAAATGTCTAATGACTAAAATTATTTCATAGTTTATTAAACATTGATTTATTCCACTTGAAAAGTGTATTAATTACTATCATAGTTACAGACAGATGTGCTACATTTATATTATCCCTGGTCAGCACTTTCTGAATGTATTCCATAAACTGATACAAATTCTGATGGTTTTAAAAGATATTTCTAAAAAAATAAATCCTATTTGGACTTCAAAATTTCTAGAGGTGTGGAGGCTGGATGAACCCCTGAAATATTGCCCTGAGATAATCTTTAAACCTTAAACCAAAAATATCCCTTGAGGTCTTCTTAAAACCATAAGTAGTTCAGCGTAACTAGTAAAAGATGTCTGCCTTGAGCATTATGCTCTTTTAAGAACTATCTATACGGATCAAAGTAACAGCAGCAACTCGAAAGATTAGAAAGATTGGAGGGCAGTGAGTTTATGTTAATGGGGGAAGAACAACTCAGAAAAGGAGGCTGAGAATGGTTCCACAGCTCAAAGAGTGTAATCAGTGTTAGTGAATTGTACATGTGGAAACTCTTGAATTGGTGTACATTTTGCTCTATATATACTCAACAGCAACAAAGTAAATTTTTAAAAAAATCATTGGTTACATAAGTTTGAGAATCACTTGAATACTTTTAACACCTTAGACATTAATAGTACATGTCTGCATATAAAGGTCAGGAAAAGAACTGTGTTAAAGAAACTTACTGACTTCAGGTAGCAAAGCAAGGAGAGTTATGGGGACAAGCCTCCATTCTATTGCAAATACATAGACATGCTATATAAATTTTAAGGAAGAGAATTATAGCCATCCTAGAAAGAGAAATCCCCAAGTGCCGGGAGCTAAGAGAGAAATTAAATCCTAGTGATTTGTATGTGTTTCTCTTGAATATCTGTCCAAAACCTTAAGTGGAAAGGGAAAGTCACTCATGAGAAATTGAAAGCATGCACCACACCGTTGTATAGTGTCCAAAAGTATATGGTATAAAAATCCCAAACCAGGAAATGAATGTAACAGGTTCAGGACCATTGAGACTTCTCGAGCCCTGACTAAAGCAAATGCAGAACTGTATTATGGTGATATGTACACACCCAGAGCAGTGGAACTATGTAAATAAATCAAGATCCATTCAAATACAGTTCACAATGAAAAGTTACAATCTACTAGAAAGCAGGAACCACCACGAAGAAGAATCAGCAGAGACAAATAGAAGAATTGGCCCCCTAAGAAATATAGATAACCAGAAGTGCTACAGATAATGGAAAATCAAATAATAAACTTAAAAATAAAGTTAAAAATGGTTAGCAACATTGAAAGAGGAATAGAAAACATGGAAGAAGGGGCAAAAAAAGACTGAAATTTTAACAAAAAGCCAAATAATAATTTCTATATAATCAGTGGACCTTAAAACTTAAATATAATGGGAGTGAGAATTAATGAATAGAAGATAAATGTGAGTACCTAGAATGTAGAATCCTTCGGTATGGATTACACCTCAACATAAAACAAATCCTCACCACTGGACCAATAAGCAACATCATGATAGACGGAAAAAGGATTGAAGTTGTCAAGAATTTCATTTTGCTTGGATCCACAGTCAACACCCATGGAAGCAGCAGTCAGGAAATCAAAAGACGCATTGCATTGGGCAAATCTGCTGCAAAGGACTTCTTTAAAATGTTCAAAAGCAAAGATGTCACTTTGAGGACTAAGGTGCACCTGACCCAAACCATGGTATTTTCAGTTGCCCCATACGCATGTGAAAGCTGGACAATGAATAAGGAAGGCTAAAGAAAACTTGATGCCTTTGAATTATGGTGATGGCGAAGAATATTGAATATACTGTGGATTGCCAGAAGAACAGACAAATCTGTTTTGGAAGAAGTACAGCCAGAGTGCTCCTTGGAAGCATGGATGGTGACACTTTGTCTCACATGGCTATGGACATGTTATCAGGAGGGACCAGGCCCTGGAGGACGACATCATGGTAGAGGGTCAGCAAGAAAGAAGATTCTCAACGAGATGGATTGGCACAGTGGTTGCAACAATGGACTCAAACATAGCAGTGATCGTGAGGATGATGCAGAACTGGACAGGGTTTCATTCTGTTGTACGTAGGGTCACTATGAGTTGGAACTGATTCGATGGCACCTAACAACAACAGTTAATGTTAGACATATTTTAGTATATCTGGAAGTGTTTCTTTAATGTTTTTTATGCATAGAAAGGTACACTACATACTAAGACAAACATTTCACTAACATAGATAAGAACCATACCTAACTGTTCCAACTTACGTACAAATTCGACTTAAAGACAAACTTGGAAATGGAACTCATTTGTAATCCAGGGACTGCCTGAATGTCTATAACAATTTCCACAAGTTATTCTGCATTATTTTGGCGTATCAAGGGTAAAATATTTCTAAACAGGTACCAATACGGCTCTTTTTATACTTTTATTGTAATTAATGCTTAACTTATTTAACATAATAATCAGTAATATAGCAAAGTAGCACCCATTTGTTATTACGAACCCTCGTTTGTGCCTCGAATTTTTAATATAATAAGCTTTACAGGGTTTGGTTCCTACCTACGGATTGTACATAAGTCAGACTTGTAGGAACTGCTTGTACTAAGAAAAGCAAAATAGATTACAAACTTAATACGTAATTTTAGTCATTTTCCCTTCTTGATATTAGGTTACAATTACAGATCCTGACTTGATAGAAAAATCCAACTTGAATAGACAGTTCTTGTTTCGTCCCCATCACATACAGGTATGTTGCTGTTCTGTTTAAAATTTAAATCATTTGTTGTGTTATGTGAAAAAGAGAATTTCTTTTTTTTTATAAATAGAAAATAGTGCTTGAACAAGCATAATATGTTCTTTATTAGAATCTCAAATTATCAAATAATGGACATCATTAAAGGGAAAAATATAAAATTACTTTTTAATGTAAAAATTGGTTTTCACACTGATTTTGGATATTCAAGTTTGAGTTTTGAAGCATGGGCAGTATTTTATTTTCACTTTATAATCAGCAAGGTGTGTTTACATATTTAGTTTTAGAAGCTAAGGACATGGGAATGAGTTCCCTAATTTGAAGTTTTAATAGATCACAAGTTTGGTACTTTTTTTTTTTTTTTTTTACTTGTTGCTTCAAAAAAGGTAAAATTTAGCACTTAGAATTTTTATATTCTTTTGATCTTATTTGACTATTTAACATCCCTTTTTATTGTAAAATAATTCTTGTTCTCTTCTTCCTCCTTTCCTGTAGAGATAAAAATATTTAAGTCAGAAAAGGAAGCAGTTTAGTCAGTCGAGCGAGTTTGATTTTAGTTTAGAAATGTTTTTCCCATTATTGTTCAGCAGCTCATTAGCAACCTTAGTAAATAAAGCTTAGTAATGTCATGAACAGAGAAGTAACTGAAGCAGGTGGCATAAAATGTTAGCCTAATTGCCTCTCCTATCTAAATATAAAGAACTAATTAGCAGGCTCTCTTAATGAGGTAAAATATATGTCTCAAAATCTATTTGTTTAACTTTGTACATTTTACTTATAGAAGAACTATAAAGGTCTATTTATTATTATTTTACCAAGTTCTAACAGAGTTTCAGATTTGTACATTTAGAGCACTGAGACGTGAAACATGTTAGACTAACAGTGTGGAAGAGACAGAAATAGCATTAAAACTGGATGCAGGAATTCAAACAGAACTATCTATACGCATTTACTGTCAAACTCAATACTCATTTCATATAACACCTGAAACTGATTCCAATTGATTTAACAATCAGTAAATTTCAAGAAATGAAAGAAATGCATTATATTTAGGGTACCTTTTTTTATAAAGCTGAAACACATGTAATGTTTGAAAATACTTCTATCCACAAATAGTAACAATTAAAGATTTCAGTACTCAAAGTAGTAAACTCTCGTACCTATAAGAAGTCATTTTCTAGTTTTTAGATTTCTAGTATTTGACTGTATGTGTTCTAGTTTTTTCTAGGCACTTACACAATTCAAACATCATTATTTGGAAAAAATATACTTTTTATTGATCTTTTAACTAATATTTTTATAATTCTGAAGTACTTAGCTGTGAAATACAGGTTGTTTAGATTTTTATTAATGATATATAAATTATTCAGACCAATGTGCATTATTAAATATAGTGTACCTACAATGAATATAATTTCCACAAACCAAAACTGAAAATAGTCTCATTACTTTTATCAAATATGTATATTCCAGAAAGATAAGTTTATAAGTTCATTGATAACCTGTCTTTTTTAACATTCATTCCTTCCATTTCTTAGAGAATTTGTTTTTATTTGTTTAGAAACCTAAAAGCTATACTGCTGCTGATGCAACCCTGAAAATAAATCCTCAATTAAAGATAGATGCACACCTGAATAAAGTATGCCCAGCCACTGAGACCATTTACAATGATGCGTTCTATACTAAACAAGATATAATTATTACAGCATTAGATAATGTGGAAGCCAGAAGATATGTAGACAGGTATGTTCTTGAAATTATAGTTCATGAAAAAAATTATCCTTCCTTTGTTTTCACTTCTGTTTCCCACACCTGCTTATTGAAAAGTTACTGCAATTTCTTATATTTTATGTTCCTATTATAATACTTCTCAGACAACCCTTTTGATGATTTCCCATTACACTTAAGATAAAATCCAAACATCTGTAACATACCGAAAAAAATTTTCTTTGAAGTGCCTACCCCAGCCAGAAATCTACCTGCCCGCTCTTAACATGGAGCCCTGGTGTCACAGTGGTTTACGTGTTCAGCTGCTAACCAAAAGGTCGGCAGTTTGAATCCACCAGCTGCTCTTTGGAAACCCTGTGGGGCAGTTCTACTAGTGTTTTCCCCTAATTCTTCCAGTTCTAACCTAAATGTCTTTCTTCAGACTTTAACCCCCAAATCTAAATTAGATTGTCTTATGATAATCTTTCACAGCTCTCTACTTTTCCGTTAGTAGCACTTATCTTTATTGACATACATATTTCTTTAATACTTGTCTCCTCACTAGAGCATTTATGCAGGGACCATTTATTTTCCCATTACTGTATCCTTAATCCCCCACCATATGATGTTAAATGAGTACAAGAATAAATCTCTGTAATGTGTACTTCTTACATAATCTTTCTTAGGTCTTTATATGACTTCTTAATGTCAGAGTGCTAGAACAGATATATCAATAAAGAAAAATTTACCAATTGAGAAGTACAGTGGAAAATTTGTAATTGAATATTGAACAGGAGAGAGGAAAAAAAAATAAAGAAATTTAAGTGTGTAAAATACAAGTATTGAGAAAAAGTTTAAATATTGTTTGGGATAAAGAAAATATTGAGGAAAATTATAGTCAGAAAATAAAAACTAGAAAGCAAGAGATGAAGGAGTAATATAGTTAACAGTTAAGCTGGAGAAAAAAAGTTAACATAGCCCAGAATTTTTTGTTGTTGCTGCTGCTGCTGCTGTTTTTGTAGTAGTAGCAATAGTAGTGGAGCCCTGGTGGCACAGTGGTTAAGAGCTCAGCTACTAACCAAAAGGTCAGCAGTTCAAATCCACCAGCTGCTCCTTGGAAACCCTGTGGGGCAGTTCTGCTCTGTCCTGTTGGGTCGCTGTGAGTGGGAATTGACTCTACAGCAAGGAGTTTGTTTGGTTTTTTTTCCCAGTAATAGTAGGAGTGATAGTGGAGCCCTGGTGGCACAGTGGTTAAGAGCTATGGCTGCTAACCAGTAGGTCGGCAGTTTGACTCTACCAGCTGCTCCTTAGAAACCCTACAGGGCAGTCTACTCTGTCCTATAGGATTGCTATGAGTTGGAATCAACTCAACAGCAACAGGTTTGGTTTTTTGGTTAGTAGTAGTAGTAGTGAGAGACCAGAATTTTAGTAGGTTGAGCAACAAAATTTATGGAGTGTGGGGGAGGATAATGAATGTATTGTTTGATACTAATGTGTCTGTTTCCTGAAGTATTACCATCAAGAAATTTCTGTGAAATGGACAGTATAAAGTGACAGGAGGTTCTCTACTTTTGTTATTACTCACTTTTATGTTATCTATTTATCTTTTCAAATAGTCGTTGTTTAGCAAATCTACGACCTCTGTTAGACTCTGGAACAATGGGCACTAAGGGACACACTGAAGTTATTGTGCCTCATTTGACTGAATCCTATAATAGTCATGTAAGTAAATAGTATTTGGAAATAAATGTCTTTCTTCTTTACATCCTGTATTTCTTTTGTTGTCATCAGTCAACAGATTTGATTTAGCTTTCCTAATCCTTCTGTTTTTGGTGTGTCAGTGATATCCATACGTGTTTGCACGTGCATCTTTAAAAATATAACTGAAGTTATTGTTTTCTTAGAGTCAACAAAATTTGTTTTTGTTCTTTCTGGAGTGTTTTGCTTCCATTTACTGTATATTCATCAGAGCTGCTTGGTTTAATTTTCAACAGACTTTGAGTTTAAAAAGATTACTTGATAAGATTGCTTCTTACACTATTAGATTAAGAATAGAAGTGTTAACAAAAACAGAATTTATATTAATTTACTAATCTTCTGATTTTATTGTGTTAGATACTAGCTGGCATATAAAGAATAAAGAAAGTCTAGTCATCATACATTCATGTCTGATGTTATTTTAGACTAGTAATTTTTCACCCCATCATGCATCTCAGAAATACCTGTGAGACTTGATGTAAGTATAAGCACTGTTGACCCACCCAAAAATCTTACTGAAGAATCAGTGTCTCCATAAGTGTGACCAGGGTGTCTGTTTACGTATATTTTATATTAACAGATATAGATGTAGCTTTTTTTTTTTTTATCCCCCCCCCAAATGATTTTAGATGCTGCCAAAGTTGAAAACCAGTGATCTAGGCTTTTAGGATTTTAAAAAAATCAACCCAAGTTGTAAAATTGGAAAAGAATGCTTTTACAAACATTAGTATCCCTTTATTTAATGGATATGTTTGATCTAGTAAAATTTTTATAAAATTTATTGTTTTCTCATTTATTCTCATGTAATCAGAAGTTTATGTATCTAATGAAAACATAGTAAACTAAATTTGAAGATTAGATAAAGAAGAAAATCATGCTAGCTAATATGAGGTGTCATATTAGAAGTAGGAAATGTTACAAAATTCTAAATGCTGCCTTGATTCTTTCATTCTACTACATCTTTCCTAAGCGTCCTATTTCCTCATTTTACACTCATAAAAACCAGAATTTAATACTTTCCTAACTTCCCTCTTTTGACTTTTTAAAAAATATTTAGTGCTATTTAATAGAAAAACAAACTAAAATATAAGTCTCTAAGTAAAAAAAGAGACAAAATAGGTCATTTTAGATTGGGTAAACCAATAATACTAGGCAAAATGTACCCTATGATAAACTGTAGATTTCTTCAGTAGTACTTTTTCCACATGATACAGCATAGGCATTTGCCATTTATTTAATACACACGTTTTGCAAAAAACTATAGCAAACAGAGGACATATGATTCTTGCTCCCAAATTTTTTTCCCCATGGAGAAATTCCTGGTATACTGAGCACTATATTGGAGGATTCTTGAATTACTTTTAAAATAGAGAGTATTGTAAATTTTAAATGTCCCCTTGATTCTTGGAGGAAAAAATAAAAATTACATATATAGTGATGTGCTATAATGACTGCCAAATGAGTGCACAGGTAATAAATAGAGTCATCCTTACTGTTAACGCTGCTATTAAACAGTTGTGGTGTCAAAATAATTAACTTTTTCTCTTCTTTTTTATTGGTTAGGAAAAAGAAGATACACAAATCCATATTTGGATTTTTTTTTAAGAGTCTTAAAACACTCAAAAGTAAACGATAAAATTTAAAAGGAAAATATAGCAATAATAAATTGTCATTGCTTCTCTTAATTGTCTTTTATCATGTTTCATAAATTAGCGGGATCCCCCAGAAGAGGAAATACCATTTTGTACTCTAAAGTCCTTTCCAGCTATTATCGAACATACTATACAGTGGGCAAGAGATAAGGTAAAGTTCCTTTTTCAAGCTTTTTTTTTTTTTTTTTTTTTTTTTTTGAAGTAGAAAAGAAGATATTTCTAGCTTTTAAACAGACTATTTGTAACTCAGCTCCCCCGCCCCACCGCTCTCTTATAGTTTGAAAGTTCCTTTTCTCACAAGCCTTCATTGTTCAACAAATTTTGGCAAACCTATCATTCTGCAGAAGAAGTCTTACAGGTAAATATCAGTACATTCTAATCTTATTTTCAAGTTGCCTGTTGTTGTTAGCTGTCTCAGGTCGGCCCCCGAATCATGTGTTACAGAATAGAGCTTTTCCTTAGGGTTTTCTTGGCTATAATCTTTACAGAAGCAGTTTTCCAGGTCTTTTTTCTGCTGTCCCACTGGATGGGATTTGAACTGCCAGCCTTTAGGTTACTAGCCAATTGCAAACCACTTGTACCACCCAGGTTCCTATTTTAAGTTGCCTACAAATGGTTTACCTCCTTAAGGAGAGAGTATGACAGTAATGTACGTAATAAATGATACTTCAGGCTCCTGGGCTTGCTTATGTACAACCAAAAACCTCATAGGATTTTGTAGGATTTTGTTCCTTGATTTGGAGGTTTAGAGTTATGATTTCATGGGACATCCCAGTTAACTGGCCTAATAACATGTTTAGTGCTTCTGTTCTACCTCCTAGTTTGTTGCATAGTGCCTGGGGTCTTAAAAGCCTACAAGTGGCCATCCAGGGTACAACAATTGGTCTGTATTCACCTGGAGCAACAGAGAAAGTAGGAGAGTAAGGATAGGAGGATATGGAATGTGTGGCTAATTGTCTCCACGAATGACTGCTTCTTTGCCATGAGACCAGAAGAACTGGATGGTGCCCAGCTACCATTACTGAACATTTTGAGCAAAGATTCTGTAGAAGAATCCTGAACAAAAGGGGGAACATGTAGAACAGAATTTCAGATCCTCATGGACTCCAGACTTCGGATCCACAGAGACTGGATGAACCCCTGAAACTATTGCCGTGAGACAATCTTTAAAACTTAAAACGAAAATATCCCCTGAAATCTTAAAACCAAACAATAGATTAGCTTAACTAGTAAAAAATGTCTGCCTTAAGCATTATGCTCTTTCTATATGGGATCAAAGTGGCAACAACAACTCAAATGATTAGATAGGAATCTTAGGGGGAAGTGTTAATGAGGGAACAACAGCTCAGAAAAGGAGGATGAAAATGGTTGCACAACCCAAAGAGTATAATCAGTGTCACTGAGTTGTACATGTACAGATAGTTGAATTGATGTATGTTTTGCTGTGTATATTCTCAACAACAAAAACAAAATTTTTTTTTAAAAAAATGATAAATCGGGAATCTTGAAATTAGCAGGTCATAGTAACTTCTTTTTTTAATTTGCTTGAGCTATATGAAATTGCCAATATTTGACCATATTTGACCCACAAAACAGCAGTTAATATGGTTAAACCTAATAACATGATAATGATAAGAGAGCTACAAATTTTTAAAAATACCTTGTTAAGCTCTTTGGGAAAAATACAGGAAAAGTTCCAGTGAAAATTTCATGAGTGGACTATCTCAGATTTCTTACTCTCAAAAGATGTTTTGAGATACTTCAAAAGATGTTTCCTTAACTATGGGGCAGTTCTACTCTGTCCTATAGGGTTGCTATGAGTCGGAATCAATTTGGTGGCAACAGGTTCGGTTTTTTTGTGAGGTTATTACTGTAGGAAATTTTTGAAGATCAGAAACACTCAGAAAAGAACATAATCCCGTTACTGCAATTCCACTACTCAGAGACAACTAGTGTTAATATCTGCGGTACTTTATTCTAGAAGTTTTTTTTCTAGATATATTTTATAAAAGCAGGACCCTACTAAAACTGTACAACATTTTGAACTGCCCCAAATGTGTATACTTATTAAACAGTGGGAGAAGGTGGTTATCCAGATTTACTTTTTGTACTCGTTTAGTGGAGAATTTTGTTTGTTTTGATATTCATTTGTAATAAATTTTTTTTATTACATTGAAGATTAAATATAATTGTAAAACATCCTGGACAATTAAAACTATAAACATTTCAGTCCCTCCTAAAAAAACAAAAAAAAAGTTTCTTTACTTTTCTTTAATCCTCTGAGTCTTAAATGGTAACTGTTTAGTATCAAATATTACTCATGGTACTTCTTATATAATTACATCTAAAGAACTAATAACTTATAGCTAGGAAGGCATAGGATAACTTGTGAAATACAAAACTTCAGAATTAAAATTTCATGTGCTAATTAAAATTTTGCTTGTTCCCTCTCTTCTGAAAAGAAAGGGAGAGGAAAGAGGTAGAGAAAAAGAGCATGAAGTAAAAAAATGTTTTTAAATCATAAAACACACGAGCTGGCACTTCAAACTGGGGCTAATACTTTGTGTATGTGTTTAAATGAAAACGTATTCTTTTTTCTCTTCCATCATAGAAGATACAAACTGGACACAGTTTAGAAGGCTGTTTTCAAGTTACTAAGTTACTTAGCAGAAGACCTAGAAATTGGTCCCAGTGTGTAGAATTAGCAAGATTAAAATTTGAAAAATATTTTAACCATAAGGTAAGTGTGCATTATGGGACATTAAGGTCTGATCTGACCTTGACTCTTTTAGCTATTACTGAATTAATTTCATTGACTTGAAATGTCTACCCTTTCAGGCGAATTTTCAGAAATTAGTAAATTAAATGAGAACAAGTGTGGGGCATATAAGTAGTTTGTCTTTGAATGTTATTGATTAAAGAATTCATTTAAACCCTACCCATTGGTTTGTCAGTTACGTGCTTAACTGATCATTGGCCTTCTGTGTGCAACATTGGGCCTTAGGTAGATATTCTTTCTAGAGTGTAAGTAATATATTTCATCTATAATCTAAAAAGTTTGCTGTTCAGAGAAGAAGCAAGAGGCTAAGAGAAAATAAAGATACTCAGGAATGTTGGACTTTTGCTCTCCCTACCTGTATCTGATGGTAATATTTTGTGTCCATTTCCTCATCTGCAAAATTAGGATAATAAATTGGTACCAACTTCATAGAGTAGTGGTGAGAATCAAATGAGTCAATACATGTAAAGTATTTAGAACCAAATCTGGCACATAAGTTATTCTTACCTCCAGTTGCTTACATCTGCTAGAATGTGTCCTGTTCTCTCCCTCTTTAACTTCTCCCTCTCTTTGGGCTATTACCAATCAACATACAGAAAGTTAATCTTAAAAAAAATAGTTTTGATTATACTTATTCCTGTCTTTTTACATTCAGAAATGACTCTGTTTCTTAGAAAAGTAGTCTGTGCTTGCTGTCTCCACTTCTTCACTTCCCATTTGTTCCTCAACCCAATAAATATGGTTTCTTTCCCCATTGCTGTTTATATTGTTCTCACCATGTTCATTAAAAAAGGGGCAAGGTGGGCAAATCCCACCTTTATTGTTAACTGTGTGGTAAGGATCAGCATGAAACCTGGAATGGATCCAGTCTTCACCTTTCCACATCTCCGTTATACTCTTTGCTAGCCACCCATGTGGCACTTTCTCTCTCTGACCCTCACACCCCAGAGTTAGGTCAAACCTTACAAGTTAAAAGGACACAATCTTTCAGATTGACTGCCTGCATAGCCCTTCTCTGAATTAGCCACCCCAGGCTAAGTCAAAACACACTATTTAGAAAGATTCTGTCATTCCAACTACCAAATAGGCAGACACCAGCTCCTGCCAGCTCTGATTGCCACTGTGGGTTTGTTAATTATCTAGAATGGCTCACAAAATTCACAGTCTGTCTATACTTACAGTTACCCACTTATAACCAGAAAGGATACAAACAGAGACACATCAGGAGAGGTCCCGGCATGAGACTTCCATTGTCTTCAGGGACAGGCCATCCTCCCTAGAGCACATGCTGTTGCCAATCCATGAAGCCTTCTTAGTTATCTAGTATTGCTGTAACAGAAATACCACAAGTGGATGGCTTTCACAAACAGAAATTTGTTCTCTCACAGTTTAGGAGACTAGAAGTCTGAATTCGGCAAGTGTAGGGGAAGGCTTTCTGTCTGTTGACTCTGGAGGAAGGTCCTTGTCTCTTCTGAGCTGCTGCTCCTGGGCAGTCTTCATGTGGCTTGGCATCTCTTTTCCCCCATCTCTGCTTCTTTGACTTACTTGTTTAATTTCTTTTGTATCTCAAAAGAGATTGATTGAAGAATACTAATCCTGCCTCGTTAACAAAGACAACCCATTCCCAAATAGAATCACAACCACAGACATAGAGTTTAAGAATTACAACCAGTGTTTTGGGGGGACACAATTCAATCCGTAACACTCTCCAACTTCCATGTTCAAATCCTCTTATCAGCTTCATTGCACAGCCATGATTGGGGCCTCATTGCATAGTCATGATTGATTGAACATTGAATATGCATGATTGAATTATGCTCCCCTTCCTTCCCAGGGTTAGTTGCAAGGTATACAGCCAGTATGACCCACACTCATTTGCACACTTTAAGTTATAGAAGACAAAGACTACTAAATTGCTGGGGAATTTCAAGTGCTCTTTCATGAAAAAAAGACAAAAGCCAAATGAGTTCCTTGTCTCATACCATCTTATCGATAACATTCTCATTTCATGATCTGTCTTCTGTAGGTTTTTTTTATTTTTTAATACGGAAAATTCAACCGTAGGTATAAAATGCTATGTATTCTGTTTTCATTTTATGTTTTAGGAATTAGCTCTGAAAAGTAAAGAACAATATGTAAAATATGCCACCCTTTGTGTTAAAAAGGGGTTAAATATTAGGCATAAAGAGAAGTGAAGTTCTGAGAGATGCTACAACATGGATGAAACTTGAAAACATGCTACGTGAAATAAGGCAGATGTAATAAATCAGATCCTAAGTGTATGATCCCCCTTATGTGAAATATTAAGAATAGGCAAATACATAGAGGTAGAGGGTTATTAGTGGTTAGCAGGGGCTGGAAGGAGAGGAGAATAACAACTAAAAGTATTGGGGAAAAAAAATAGGGATTATTCCAGGAATAAGGTGAATGACAGGAGAACAGACACATGGAGTACAAGGGTGGCTGGGCACTTTATATCTTTTTGTACATTTTGACTGTTGAACCATGTGTATATATTAACTACACAAAATATTAAAAAAGCAAATTTGTTTTTTTAATGTTTACCTGAGGTAATATTAGTAGTTTTTTTTTTTTTTAACGTATGTTTAGGCTCTACAACTTCTTCACTGTTTCCCTCTGGACACACGATTAAAAGATGGCAGTAAGTATAACCAAGTATTGAGAAGAAATTTTAATATAGTTAATGTAGTACTGGCTAATGACATTGAAATTAATGTTTGTATCTTTTTGTTAGGTTTGTTTTGGCAATCACCAAAGAGGCCACCCTCACCAATAAAATTTGACTTAAATGAACCTTTGTAAGTATTTATATCCAGTTTTTTATGTGTCCTTCATTGTAAATTTTTTAACTTTGTTTATGGTAAAGTTCTCAGGTTCTTTCATGTTGAATGATTGCATCCCTGTTAATCTGTTAACAAGCAGTCTGGCTAGCAAAAGCTGGCCACACTCCTTCTTCCCACACAAATGTGAACCCATTTATTTAAATGGTAAATAACCTCATTTATAGTAAAGATCTACTCTGGTGAAACCAAACTCCCCTCTTTGACTTTATCCATGAAAAAGTAAAATGACAATAAATGTTTTTGTTTAATGAAACCAGTTAGTATATAAGAAGCTTTAGTTATATGGGAAAAAAAAAAAAGATTACTACTAAATATCTTCCTAAGTAATCTCAAATTAGTTTTCAAAGGAGTTGGTCTTTGCATGAATACATGTGTATAGTATCTATATTAGATTTACATTACATTTATCCTTACGTGTATTTATTTGATTAAACAAACTTAGCTTGCCATTTCTAACCTTCCTTTCAGCAGGTAACTCTGTACTTAATTTTCTCATCTGGTACTTATTTTAGCCTTTTAGTCACCTTGTTTTGAACTGTTTTTCCTACAAAATGTAATTTTTTTTTTAAGCAAACTCATTTGCTTGGTTTAAACTTGACACACACACTTTAGACTAAATGTGTAATATTTTCTTGTGAATTAAAATGAATTGTCTTTTCACTAGTCCAATTTTTCTACTTGTGGCTATTCTCTCCTCAAAATAGTCATGGTGACTGCCTGAATATCAGTGTTTGTGAGGATAGATATTTGATGTTTTCTCTTTTATAGCTTCCGGTATTTTGGTACAGACCAGAATTTCATTGTCTGACTTTTTTAAAAAATAATCCTGTATCAAATCAAAATTCTGTGATTGTTTTTCCTCCTGCAACTTTTTAAAGGCTGTAATTTCTAATTAATTAAACGTAATTGTACATTGAAACTTGTGTTTTATTTTTTAATTTCATTAGGCACTTAAGTTTCATTCAGAATGCTGCAAAACTATATGCTATGGTATATTGCATTCCATTTACAGAAAAGGTAAGGTATTCTTTGGGCCCTAGAAAGTGTCACAAACCCAATTTTTGATACAAAAATTTGATGACTTACCAACTAATTGCATCAGAATGTGTTCATATGTTGTAAGAATCATTCTTTGACATACATGTTTCATTTTGTTTCATCGTTACTCATTCTAACATAGGAAAAGTTAAAAATTTGCAGTATTACTAAGTAGAAACTTTCTAAATTTAAGTATCAAAACAGCAAAATTTGTACAAGCAGTCACATTATTTTTAAAGCATTTATAACCTGTTTATCAGCTTTAGTTATCCTAATTATTCTGAAAAGCCAAAGTGAATAATTTCATAGCAATTTAAAAATATTCCTTATTCTCTTTGTTAACATTTGTTTGAGTTACTATGTGATACTAACCTACATGCTTTTCAGGAAATTTTAAAATGCTACCCCATATGACATTTCTGTTGTCTTCATTGACTAATACCTAAAGGACCTAATACAGTTCTATTTGAGAGCAGATATGCTTTAGTGATTTTGTCCTCTCAAATGTGTATTAGAACCAAATAAATTGGTTTACTTTTGAGTACACTAAATGAGGAAATGGAAGCAACATTTTATCCTTAATATGATATAATGGACCCAGATTTATAGTTAACACTGGCTATTTTGGATCCAGATAAAAATGCCCCTTTTTTTTTCCATTTCTGCACATTAAAATGCACCATAAATGTTTAATAAAAATATGGACATTCACTGTTTTTCTGAAAGACATATAAGGGTGGTAGTTGACCTCAAAAGCAGTATATCTCAGTTTTCCCTAAACTGCTTTTTAATAAATGTGGATCTGATAGCCTTAAATTCATCTAAGTTCATCTTGATCTTTTAAAATATTTTTTCTGCTTCTGAAGATATGAATTCCATTTATTTGTTTCTTTATTGAGTCAATATTTATTGAGTACAGGGAGTCCCCAGGTTATGAACATCAGACTTAAGAACAACTCTTAGTTGGCCTTTAATGTTATGTAAATTTGCCCTCACTTTGAACCAACCCCTGCTTGCAACAAATTCTTCATCACAGTCACTTTCACTTGCTGCACTTGCAGCTTTTAAATTATTTAAAAGGCTTCCAGCCTTTTCTTGCACTAAATCACAAACCAAACCCATTGCTGTGGAGTCAGTTCTGACTCATAACCATATGTGCCTTTTTCCAACTTATCTACAAATCTGACTTAAAGACGCGGTTAGGAACGAATCTCACTCATAACCCAGGGACTACCTGTGTAACTTTGTGCAGGTAACTTTGTAAAACATTTAAGATTAAGAAATGAAGGATTCCGTCAGTGGTGCCAATGGTTGATGCACTCGACTGCTAACCAAAATGTTAGAGGTTTGGTATCACCCAGAGACACTTTGGAAGAAAGGCCTGGCAATCTACTTCTGAAAAAAATCAGCTATTGAAAACCCTATTTAGCACAGTTCTACTCTGACACACATGGGGTCATCAAGAGTCGGAATTGACTCAACAGCAACTGAACCAGAAAAGAAATTAAAAAGATAGTCCCTAATCTTGAGAAACTCAGTTGGATATTCACAACCAGTCCTAAAACTACCTTTTTAGAAATTTGCAGTAAGAACTAATATTTCAGGTATGTTGACTAATAAGTAATTTTTCACTGCTCTCATAGCCTTTATGGGCAAAATTTCTATAGAAATAAAGTTAAATGACCCAAAATAGTTATGGTCTAAATAGATGATAAATTATTGTAATATCTTAATATGCTATAGGATACTTTTAACTTTAGAATCCCAGAATGAGAAGAATATATCTGTTGATAGAATTATTTTTTCAAAAACACAGGACTTGTCAGCAGATGCCCTCTTGGATATTCTTTCTGATGTAAAGATTCAGGAATTCAAACCTTCCAACAAGGTATGTTTAGAAATTTATTCAGCAAATAGTAATTGAATTCCACATTCAGCAAATAGTTACTGAACTTGTATTTGTGTCAAGTCACATTCTAATCCCTGAGAACCTAGCCGTGAACGAAACAAAGTTCTAGTCCTCATGGAGATTACATTCGAATGAGCAGAGACAGACAAACAGAAATGCCAATAAGTGGAGATAAATGCTAAGAAAAAAACTTTAAAAAGGAATGGAAATAAACAGTGAGCTGGTGTCATTTTATATGAGATGGAAGGGAAAGGCCTCTCTAATGAAACATTTGAGCAGAAACCTGAAGGAAGTAAGAGTGTGAGCCATGCTGATAGTGTGGTGAAAAAGCAGTGCTGGCTGCAGAAACAAGTACACAGAAAGGCCTTGTAAGATCTTAAGACCAGACTTTATGGAGGAAAGTTGTTATGGAGGAGAGTAAGAGTGGTAGAAGATACTAGCGAGGTTGTTCTTAGGTCTGCAGGGTCCATTCCAACTCATAGCAACCTTATGTATAACAGAACAAAGCAATGCCTGGTCCTGTGCTACCCTCATAATCATTGCTATATTTTGAGCCCATTTTTGCAGCCACTTTGTCAGTCCATCTTGTTGAGGGTCTTCCTCTTTTATGCTGACCCTCTACTTTACCAATCATGATGTCCTTCTCCAGGGACTGGTCCTGCCTGATAACATGTCCAAAGTAAAGGAGATGAAGTCTCACCATCCTTGCTTCTAAGAAGCATTCTGTCTGTACTTCTTCCAAGACAGATTTGTTCATTCTTCTGGCAGTCTATGGTATATTCAGTATTCTTTGTCAATACCATAAGTCAAATGCATCAATTCTTTGGTCTTCTTTATTCATTGTCCAGCTTTTGCATGCGTATGAGGTGATTGAAAATTAGCGAGGTAGTTAGGTACTATGAGATGAGAAGCTAGTGGAGGATTTTGAGCAGAGGACTGACATAATCTGATTTAACATTTAAAAGGATTACTCTGGCTATTGTGTTAAGAATGACTGTATGGGGCACAGGAGAGGAAGCAGGAAAAATTGGCAGGTTATTGCAATACTACAGTAACACAAGAGATGGTGAATAGTTTGGATGCAGGTGGAAGGTAGCAGGGAAGTTGTGATTAGAGATTGGATTCTGTAGTACATATTTTACTGTAGCCTGACAGGATTTGTAATAGATTAGAAATGGAGTGAGAGAAAAAAAAGATTGTTATTTTCTTAGTTGATACCAGAAAAAAGCTTAACTGCTGAGGAGAAGATAAGGAAGTTTGAGCAGAGAAAAGAAAGTGAAATAATTGCCCAGGGAAGTGGGAAAATCACTTAATTAGAAAATGTAGAATTGCTAGACAGCACTGAGGATCCACTTAATGTGTTCCACTGAATGTAGAGAAAAGAGGATTCCTTTTCTATTGTCGTATTTAGCTGCTGCTTTGATTTCAACTAGAATACAAGTAGTCTCTGACTTGTTATGGGGTTCCATTCCAACATCTCTGTCGCTTCTGACATAAGTTGAATAACCTTTTTTTTTAGTTTTCATTATTGTTGCCTTTTATTATCAGTATCTTTATAAATCCAGTCTTTGAACATCTGCGAGTGAACATCTGAGAACGATAACATCAGCAAATTATGCGCCGCAACATTGTAGTATGTATTCTTGACGATAAGATGTACCAAAAAAAACAAAGTCATAGAAGGGCTAAGAAGCAGGTTTGAAACGATAGAAGACAGGATCAGCAAAAGTGAAGACAAACACTTGGTTACAACTCTGAGGAAAAATCAGAAAAAAGAACAAAGAAAAATGAAGAAACCCTGAGAATTATATGGGATACAATGAAAAGCAAAAAATTGCGAGTGATCGGAGTTCCAGAACAGGGGGAGAAAACAGAAAACACAGAGAGGATCGTTGAAGAACTGCTGACAGAAAACTTCCCCAATATCATGAAAAATGAAAAGCTGACCATCCAAGAAGCTCAGTGAACCCCATAGAAGATAGACCTCAAAAGAAAATTACCAAGGCATATCATAATCACACTTGCTAAAACCAAAGACAAAACGAAGAATCCTGAGAGTAGCTCGAGAAAAACAAAGTCACATACAGAGGAGAAACAATAAGACTAAGTTTGGATTATTCAGCAGAAACCATGAAGGCAAGAAGGCAATGGGATGACATATATAAAACCTTGAAAGAAAAACCGTTACCAGCCAATAATAATATATCCTGCAAAACTCTTGTTCAAATATGATGGTGAAATTAGGACATTTCCAGATGAACAGAATTAAGGGACTATGTAAAAACCAAACCAAACGTACAAGAATTATTAAAGGGAGTCCTTCGATCTGAGAACAAACATCAGACCACAGGCTGGATCTAGGAGGCAGGATCATACCAGCCAGACACCAACCTAGGAAATGAACTCTTAAGGACTATCCAGAACCAGAAGAATTACAACAGGGAACCAGAGAGGTTAATCTGTAAATGACAACAACATCAGGACAATAAAAGAGGGGATAAACAGTGTAGGTTTATTCTAATGGAGAGGAAAGCAAGGTGTGATACCAAGTAATAATAGACTGGTTCAAACGTAGGAATATAAGGGGAAATTTCAAGGTAACCACAAAGAAAGTTAACAAACCTACTCATCAAAATAAAGAAGAAAAACAAAGTCGCAGTAAAAACAAAACCTACAAAAACAAAAGAAGTGAAAAAAAAATCAACAAACAAAAGGAATTCAGCACAGGAGAGTTTAAGAGGAACAAAGAAAATGTCAGCACCACAAAAAAAAAGCACTACAACATGACGGCAATAAACTCACCACTATCAATAATTACACTGAATATAAACAGCCTAAATGCATCCATAAAGAGGTGGGGAGTGACAGAATAGATTAAAAAAATAGGATCATCAGTATGCTGTCTACAAGAGACCTACCTTAGAAACAAAGATGTAAATTTATTAAAACTCAAAGGATGGAAAAAAATATATATCAGGTAAACAGCTACCAAGAAAGAACAGAAGTGGCAATACTAATCTCGCATAAAATAGACTTTAAAACAAAATCCACCATAAAAGACAAAGAAGGACACTATAAATGATTAAGGGGATGACCCATCATGAAGGCATAACCATAATAAACATCTACCCACCCAATGACAGGGCTCCAAAATACATAAACTCTAACAACACTGAAAAGAGAAACTGACAGTTCCACAGTAATAGTAAGAGGCTTCAACACACCACTGTTGGTAAAGGACAGAAAGAAACTCAAGAAAGATACAGAAAACCCAAAGGGCACAATCAGCTGACTTGACCTCATAGACATATATAGAACACTCCACCCAACAGCTGCAAAGTACACATTCTTTTCCGGTGCACATGGAACATTCTCCAGAATAGACCACATCTTAGGGCACAGAGCAATTCTCAACAAAATCCAAAACATTGAGATAATACAAAGTATCTTCTTTGACCTCAGTGCCATCAAGGTAGAAATTAATAACAGAAAGAACAAGGAAAAAAATTAATTACATGGAAACTGAGTAACACCCTGCTTACAAACCACTGGATAATAGAAGAAATCAGAGATGGAATCAAAAAATTCCTAGAATCAAATGAGAATGAAAACACATCATATCAAAACCTTTGGGACACAGCAAAGGCAGTCCTCAGAGGACAGTTTATAGCAATAGATGCACACATCAAAAAAGAAGATAAAATCAAAACATTAACTACACAACTCAAACAAATAGAAAGAGAAAGGAAAAATACCCACAGCCACTAGAAGAAAGGAAATAATAAAGATCAGAGCAGAAATAAATAGAGAATAGAAAAACAATAAAAGCAGCAAAACCAAAAGTTGGTTCTTTGAAAGAATGAACAAAATTGACAAACTACTGACCCCACTGACAGAAGAAAAACAGGAGAGGACACAAATAACCCAAATAAGAAATGAAATAGGGGACATTACAGCAGACCCAACTGAAATAAAAAGGATCATAAAAGAGTTTTATGAAAAACTATACTCCAACAAGTTTGAAAACCTAGAGGAAATGGATAAATTTCAAAATGTACAAAAAGAAAGACTTGTAAGTGCAGTTGGTCATAACTCAAAACACATCGTAAGTCGGGGACTACCTGTATGTGGAAAATTGGGTTGGGATTTTGCCAGGTAGATAATGTTGGAAGGAGAAAGAGTTTTAGAGAATGTTAATAAAGATGGAACATAAAATTTAGGCAGGGTAAATAAGAAAGTTTGAAAATATTAAGTATGCCTCTTTTTCACATGTACATTATAATTTTTCTTGGATGCACTCTAAAAACCATCCACGAAGCAAATGTCTGTTCCATTTATCCCTTTAGCTAAGCCCTACAAAATTCAAAGAAGATGTGGTATTTACAGTCTTCCATTCTGTGTTTTTATTTTAGGGAAGAAGAAGTCTTATAGGCAGCTGATTTTCTCCAAGTAGATGAGGTTTCTGAATGAAATGTCCATGACTTGTAGCATATAAAGGATAAAAGTACAGCAGGGATAAACATGGAGTCCATATTACTCACAGGCAGATCTCTTAGACATAAGTCAAGGACCAATGCCTCAGTAACTTTGTCGGCCTTTATTTAATGCTCTTGCTTCAGTACATTTTCTGTCTTGCATTGCTCTGTGTATCAAAGTTTTGGGGTAATAAATTATCCTGAGTGATTTAGCTACAGTTTTAACATAAATTATGATCTTTTTTACAAATCCCTGAAGCAGCTCACACTGAGGCTTCAGGGTGCAACACTTCTAGTTACAGATGCCACAACCAAAAATATCAACTTGGCATTCTGGAAAACAAATGTTTCTGTTCCCTGACTCCTTAATATTTCTTAAATGCTTGTAATAATGTTTAATCTATAAATGCTTGAAAGCTTGAGTTGGATGTATTTTTTTTTTTTAATAAAAAATAGTACTGTAATTAGTGATAATGTAGCTAGTTTCTTGGTTTGAGAATATTCACTATCCTCATAGAATGGTATCTTGGTTATTTACTGCTGCTGAAACAGGAATACCACAAGTGAATGGCTTTAGCGAAGAGAAATTTATTTTCCCACAGTTTAGGAGGCTGTTAGTCCAAATTCAGGGTACCAGCTCTAAGGGAAGGGTTTTTTCTCTCTGTTGGCTGTGGAGGAAGGTTCTTGTGATCAATCTTCCCCTGGTCTAGCAGCTTCTCAGCACAGGAACCCTGGGTCCAAAGGATGCACTCTGCTCCTGGCACTTCTTTCTTGGTGGCTTGAGGTCTCTATCTCTTTGCTCAGTTTTCTCTCCTTTTATCTCTGGTAAGATAAAAGATGATGTAGGCCACACCCCAGGGAAACTCCTCTTACATTGGATCAGGAGGTGACCTGAGTAATGGTGTTTCATCCCACCCTAGTCCTCTTTAACATAACCTGCCTCATTCACCACAGGCAGAAATTAGGATTTACAACACATAGGAAAATTATATCAAATCCCAGAATGGAGGATAACTACACAATACTGGGAATCATGACCTAGCTAAGTTGACACGTATTTTGGGGGCATAGAGTTCAATCCACGAAATTCCACTCTTTGGCCTGCAAAAATTCATGTCCTTGCCACATGTAAAACACATTCACCCCATCAAATGGCTAATAAGTAAATTCTTAAATTACTTGTAGTATATGCTGCCCTGAACATGGTAAACTTTCTGTATGAGGGAAGACGTACTCTTATTTAGAAAACAACTTCTTGTCAAGCCAGTCAATAAATATTTAAAGGATACCCATGTAATACAGCAACGATTGTGAGGATGGTGTAGGACTGGGCAGTGTTTCGTTCTGTTGTACATAGGGTTGCTGTGAGTTGGAATTGACAGCACCTAACAATAACAACATATATTATGAATTTCTTTAGTTTCTCTGGAGTCATGAACAACTCTGTGCTCATATATGGCTATGCAGTTTGAGCATAAAATGGATTGTCAGAAGCACAAATTGTTGATTAATACTTATTTTAGTATAGAATTTTAAGAGATCTGTGTGGACTCAGATCTTACAGACTATCCAGTAAATATTTTTGACACCTAATGTGAGCAAGTTTGTTTAGATGTATTGGAGTTCTCTCAGTGAACAAGATAGATGAAGATCCCTGTTCTCATAGAATTTACAGCCAATGTGAGGAGATAGGTAATAAACAAGTAAACAAATATATAAATAATCTCATATTAGCTACTAATGAAAGATATGAAGTACCATAATGATTAATAATCTGATTAAAATAGAGGGAATATAATATGGATCCCTTTCTGTTTATATGATTTGTTTGATAAGACAGATAAATGGTAAATATTAGGTGCAGAATGTGATAACATTAACAAATATATAACATATATTTAAAGGTTGTTCAAACAGATGAGACTGCAAGAAAACCGGACCATGTTCCTATTAGCGGTGAAGATGAGAGGAATGCTATTTTCCAACTAGAAAAGGCTATTTCATCTAATGAAGCTACCAAAAGTAAGGGAAGTTCTTTACAAAAGGTTTTGAACTGGGTAACTTTTTTATTTTCACTAAGCTCTATGCCAAAAGCTTATGGGATTAAATAACAAAACAATGCAATAACGATGATATTGATTTTATTATCCCATGGAAGTCATTGTTCATCTTTAACTGACTAAATTCACCATTTTCCCAACACTAACCCTGGTGGTGCAGTGGTTAAGCACTCAACTGCTAACTGAAAGATCAGTGCTTAGAACCCACCAGCGGCTCTCTGGGAGAAAGATGTGATAGTCTGCTTCCATAAAGATTACAGCCTTGGAAACCCTAGGGGGCAGTTCTACTCTGTCCTGTAGGGTTGCCATTAGTCAGAATAGACTCTATAGCAGTGGGTTTGATTTGGCTGGTACCCCCACCCTCAAAGGTTGAAATCTAGTTCTCCAGATCATATTAACTGCTGTTTTGTTGTTCTGATTGTTTTAGTTCTTGATTCTGTTTTGTGATTCCTGTTTAACTTCTGGCTAGCATAATGAACTAAAAATGTAGTCTTTGTGGAGACTAACCCCTAGACCCAGTTAAATCACTTTAGGGAAAAGAAACATAGGCATATCTCTGAGATCCTTAATGTCGGTAATTACTGATTGGGACTCTGACTTGACCCACATGTATCCTTCCTTAAATAGTCTTATATATCAAAGCATTTAAGTCCTTTATTTTTAAGTCTTCTGTGTTTAAGACAGAGCTATTTACTAATGTTCTGGGACCTGTTCACCATTGTTTTGTTAAAGAGTTTTTGTTAAAAAGTTCCCATACTTTTGTGATTTTATGCACAGACCAGTAAAATTTCAGGAAAACATGACTTAGAATAGCTATTTAATTTACAAATAAAAACTGGTTAATTCAATGATTTTAGTTCTAGAAAAACCTTACCACTTTTTCTTATTTTCTCATTTCATCACAGATCAGGCTACTCCTGTTTACAGAGTGATCTAGAAAGATTTCAGAAAGATGCATTGACCAACTCACCCTATTCTTAGTTATCAGAGGGGAAATGTTTTCAGAATAGTATTTACGGGATCAGTTTTTGAACAGTGCACAATGTTGTCTTACTTCTATTGTAAATCACTTGATAGATAATGTGACTTTTTTATCTTTGTGTTTTTTTATCCTCACTGAAAAAGGAGCAGTGCTTTTTATATAGCAACTTTTCTAATTTAGTAGTATTAAATCCATCATTTAAAAATGTAAACAAAAAAGAATCTTTAAGAGTAGTGAACCCACATTGCTTTTTACCAAGTTAAACCTTCACTACTTGCTAGGAAACTTTGTTTTTCTGGCTGTTACAATCAGGTGACCTTCAGATGGCAGTACTTTCATTTGAAAAAGATGATGATCGTAATGGGCACATAGATTTCATCACAGCTGTGTCCAATCTTCGCGCGAAGATGTATGGCATTGAACCAGCTAACCGTTTCAAAACAAAGCGAATAGCTGGTAAAATTATACCTGCTATAGCAACATCTACTGCTGCAGTGTCTGGCTTGGTGAGTTTATTATCCTTTGAAGTAAAATGCTTCTTTTTCATTTGCCTTTTCCTTGTCTTACCAACTACACCACCCCCAACCATCCCCAGTCACTCAGAGATTTTAGAGAGGGAGGGATGAATATTGATCTTATTTAAAATTTTAAAACATTTCTGAAAATATAGTAATCCATGTTTTGAGATTTTAGAGATTTATAAACATTTTAATATAAAAAAATGCTCAAAATAAATAATTATAATTTTTCTTGCAGGTAATAATTCTATCAGTCATCTTTGTACCCTACATACAAAGCAGGTGCTATGTTTTTCTTGAGTAATATGAACTGCCCTAATCTTTGCTCTTTTATTATATCGGATTTTAGCTCTTTGCCGTTTAAAAAAAAAAAAGTAATTTCTGTCTGATTTGAATTTTCTTCAATTTAATGTTTTCTTTACTTCTTTTTTTTTCTTTTAATAATACTGTATTTCCGCACATATTGTTCAGTGATAATGGTTACATTCTTCACATTATATCAACATTCTCGTTTCTTTTCTAGTTTGTCTTGTTCCCACTGTAATTTTTTCTTGATGATTCAGGGTCTTTAGTATGGTCCTCGGTTATTATACTGTACTATTTTGTACTGTATTGTTATATTCATAGCAGTTTTATACGGCTATGTGTACATATATTATGAGCCGTGGTGGCACAGTGGTTAGGAGCTTGGCTGCTAACCAAAAGTTCGGTAGTTCGAATCCACCCGCTACTCCTTGGAAACCATATGGGACAGTTCTACTCTGTCCTGTAGGGTCGCTATGAGTCAGAGTCAACTCGATGGCAGTGGGTTTGCTTTGGGTTTTTTGGTACCTATGTTAAGTGACTTTAGAGTGTTGTATTTCTTAAGTCCTGGTATCTGCTTTCTAAGTAGGAAATTACATAGTCAAGTTAATCTATTTTTCTGAATAACTCTGTTTATCATGTATAGAACAGATTGAAAGCTTGAAAGTATAAAATATGCTTAAAGTGGAGAGACTCATGACTGCTTTTTCTCTTTACAGAGAAATGCTTGAGAAGAATTTAGGAAAATTGACTAGGATCAAGTTACAGACACTAATAGTTTTAGGCTGTTACATAATCAGATCACTTTTTTTAATCTAGGTTGCATTGGAGATGCTCAAAGTAGCTGGTGGCTGTCCATTTGAAGCTTATAAAAATTGTTTCCTTAACTTAGCCATTCCAATTATAGTGTTTACAGAGACATCTGAAGTAAGAAAAACTGAAATCAGGTATGCATGAAGGTCTATTTCTTTTATATGATGAAAGTGAAATAAAATATTTTACCTTTTAAGAGGGAGATATACTGGCTTCACCTCTTCTTTTCTTCTGTGTATATTTATAAATCCTAGCAATCACTAGAAGACCAAATCAGATCTCATCTTCATGAAGCATTTCTTGACTAAACCAGCTAAAGAGCTCTAACAGCACTTTACCTGCCACGCTATATAGCGTTATGCTTTATTTATTGTTTCATATGCGTCTTCCTAACCCAGATGAATTAGCAGGCACTCTAGTGTCTATGGACCTTAATTTTAGGATCTAGTTCCACAAGCTATGTGACAATGCAAAACCATTTCCCTGATATGTTTCATTTCTCAGATTGGCAACAAACAAAACCTACTTTGGCAAGGCTATAAGAATACAAGAACTCTCATATATTGCTGATGAGATTGCACAATAGTATAGCTCATAATTAGGGAAATACAGCACCATATTTCAAACTCGCAGATACATTTGCACGCATCTCAAGTGATACGTATGCAGGATATTCATTCTGGCATTGTTTATGGTAGCCAGAGATTAGAAACATCCCAGGTGTCCAGCAGTAGGGAACTGGAACGTCCGGAAAATGAAATTCATACAACTGTTTAAAGAGAGAGAGACAGAAGAGCATACACATGTTAGAGAGCACTTTCACTAAGATATTTTGATTTATCAGACAGTGGAAGGATCAACAAGATACTGATGAAAATAGTTACCTGTTTAGTTTGATGGGGAAATAAGATTCTGAAATATTTAACAAGTTGTATTTTTCCCCCCACATTAATTTCTAGCTAAATCACAAATAATGAACTGCTGAGGTTTGGTTTTGTTTTAAATTAAAGGGAAGAATATTAAAATTTGTTCTGAATATTTTTCTACAACAGAAATGGAATATCGTTTACAATTTGGGACAGATGGACTGTACATGGAAAAGAAGATTTTACCCTCTTGGATTTCATAAATGCAGTCAAAGTGAGGCACTTTTGTTTACTTGGTTCATTCGTAGCTTGGAGTCTGGTGTTTGTTAGTTTTTATCCATAACTTCATTAAAAGTCACCAAAATTATTTAACAAGAATTTGTTTGCTCTCTTTTTACTGGTTGCAAATCAGCATTGTCACCCAGGATTTTATATTTGGATAGAGTGTTGATTTTTTCTCTTTTGGGTATTAACTTTTAGGAAAAGTATGGAATTGAGCCAGCGATGGTGGTACAGGGAGTCAAGATGCTTTATGTTCCTATAATGCCTGGTCATGCTAAAAGGTTGAAGTTAACGTAAGTACCAAACAATATATATGAAAAATTCACAGGAATTTAAATGTAAGCTGAATGCACACTGGAAAATTAAATATAAAGGTTATTGAAGTTCAAATAAAAACATACAATTTACTCTTATCTAATGGTATCCATAAAGATGGTGAATATGCCAACTGAAGGCCAACAGTCTACCTCTCAAGAAAAATTCATAGGAATACAAATACTCTTGTTACTTTTTTATTGCGCAGAGTCAGTTCTTCAGCCAATAGTCTTAAAAACCTGATTTACTCAACACAGTAAGTAAAAGTAAATCCATCTCTTATACATAATGACCAGGCTTATGAGACCAGGATATAAAACAAGAATGCCAAATAATTTTATTCATTTATTTAATACATTTTTTGTTAAAGAGTGCCTCTTATATGTCTGGCACTGTTATAAGCTTTAGGGATACGGCACTGAGCAAAGCAAAGTCAGCCCTGTTTAAGGATCTTGCATAACAACTAGACAGATAAGTCAGATGGTGATAAGTGCTATGGTGAAAATAAAGCAGAATAAAGGGAAAGAGAATGGTGGGGAGTGGCAGTGTTAAGTTGCTATAATAGCATTCTCTTGAGTGGGGCAGAGAAAACCTACCATATAAGGTGGCATATGAGCAGAGCTCTAAAGAAAGAGAGCAAAAATGTGGACATTTGGAAGAAGAGTTTCCCAAGTCAAGGGGATAACAGAGGCAAAGGCTAAGAGGATAGCATTCTTGTTCAGAACGTCTATAAAACATTGTTAACTTGCTTAAGAAGTAGTAAGGAAGTCGAAGCGTAGTTGGTGTGAGGGATAGTGGTATGAGATGAGAAAGGCTGGGAACAAGAGAACTAGACAGGAGAAATACATATTATTATGTTAGTCAAGTGACATAGTCTACCATTTTAAAAGAATCACTGTGATCTTATATTGAGAATAAATAGGAGGAAAAGATAAAAGCAGTTAAACCAGTTCGGAGGCTTTTGTGATAGTCCATACAAGAGATGATGGTGGCTTAGACCAGGGTGGTAGCCATTGACATAGAAAGTGGTTTGATTCTGGATACATTTTGAAGGTAGGGTCCATAGGATTTACTGACGGATTGGAAGTGAAATGTAAGAGAGAGAGAGTTAAGAAAGATCTGTAACTCATGTCTCCACAATTCTTTGCATAAGGCTTTCTATAACCTGGATGTTACTTGAATAGACCTTGCCAGTGTTTACCCCCCATCACTTGTACTTTCCCTATTTTGCATGTGTGTATCATTCTAATTAAGACTGTATTTCCTAAGATAATACAATCTGACAGGTTAGTTACATTCTATAGTATTAAAAGCCATTCATTCTTTTTTTTTAAGGCATTGTATATTTCTGCTTTGATCTTTTCATTGTATGCTGATTTTTGAAGATTTAACTACCAGGAGGCAGTCTTATCTCTGTCCTTTCCTTGTGCTTGGGGGTTGCCTGATAACACTTGAATACTGACAATAGATAATTCCTGTAGAATTTAGGCAGAAAGCGTTTTAAGAAATTTTCTTCAAATGACAAAATACATCTTTTTCCCTCTTTTGAACAAGAAGATTCAGTGTACATCTGCCTTGCCTACCTATATAAAGCTGCCCAGTGTTGCCAACGTGATCTTCAAAAGGCATTTTCTAATGTATAGATCTATACTAGGGCCCATTTCCTCTTGCCTACTGAAGGGCAGGTACTTCAGCAATTCTCACTTTTTCCCCCTGCATCAGCTTTTTACTCTGTCTTGGCTCATATCCATTGTATAGAACCTTTTTGTTTTTTCTCCTGTCAATTTTTGTCCCTTCTTTTCATTGAAACTGTTCTTTTCAAGATCATCGGTGACCTTCAACTTGCTAAATACAGTAGAGGTCATTTCTGAATCTTCAGCTTACTTGGTCTATCACCAGCATTTAATGCAATTAATCGCTCTTCCCTTCTTCATATAGTTTTTTGCATTTGGTTTTCTTTGCTAATTCCTCTTTTCTCAACCTCTTAATATTGTGGTATCTCTTCTCTGTCTATACCCAGTCCTTTGGAGACCTCATCTAGTCCCATGGCTTTAAATTAAATACTATCTACATGCTAATAACTTCTCAGTTTAGTATCCTCAATCTGGACATGTCTCACAAGCTCCAGACTAATACATCCAACTGCTTTCTGTATATCTCCACTTAAATGATGTCTTAGTTATCTAGTGCTGCTATAACAGAAATACAAGTGGATGGCTTTAACAAACAAATTTATTTTCTCACTGTTTAGGAGACTAGAAGCCCGAATTCAGGGTGTCGGCTCTAGGGAGAGGCTTTCTCTCTTTGTTGGCTCTGAAGGAAGGACCTTGTCTCTTCTGAGCTTCTGCTCCACAACAGTCTTCATGTGGCTTTGCATCTGTCTTCCCCCATGTCTGCTTACTCGCTTGTTTGTTTAATCTCTTTTATATCTCAAAAGAGATTGACTCAAGACACACTGTACACTCATCCTTCCCCATTAACATAACAAAGACAACCCATTACCAAATGAGAGTATAACCACAGGCATAAAAAACAAAATAAAATAAAAACTGTTGCCTTCAGGTGGATTCCAACTCATAGCAACCCTATAGGACAGAATAGAACTGCCCCATAGGGTTTCCAAGGAGCAGCTGGTGGATTCGAACTGCCAACCTTTTGGTTAGCAGTGAGCTGTTAATGACTGTGCCACTAGGGCTCCACCACAGGCATAGAGGTTAGGATTTACAACATATATTTTGGGGGGATACAGTTCAATCCATAACAAATGGTATATCAACCAGGGACCAGTCAGGAGATAGTAGAAATCACACCAGTTATTTGAACAGGGAAAATTTAATATAAAGAATAACTAATGAAAGGCGTTTTAGCTGGTAAAAGAGGACTGTAAGGGTCCAGAAGTAACAGGTACCCCAAAAAGGTAGCTACTATTCTTTGTTGTGAGGGGAACTGTCCTGTGCATTGTAGGATGTTTAGCGACATCCTTGACCTGTACACAGTAGATGCCAGTAACACACACACACTCCTCCAGTTGTTACTGCCAAAAATGTCTTCAAAGAGAATATGGCTACCACAAGAGCATGTAGCTAGCCATTGGGAAATAAACTTGCCAGAAGGTTTGCTGCAGAGCTAGTCTGTAGAAGCTGCCCAGTGTTGCCAGGTTTGTAGAAGTAGCCTACCTAGTGAGATTACAGTCACCTGAGGATGTTAAGAGCTTGGCTGCTAATCAAAAAGTCAGCAGTTTGAATCCACCAGCCACTCTTTGGAAACTCTATGAGGCAGTTCTACTCTGTCTTATAGGGTCTGTATGAGTTGGAATCGACTCCACGGCAACGGGTAACGGTGTAATTGGAGCTGCTGTGGAGTCCACTGGAAGAGGCCACTGGGTAGGGAGAGTGGCCTGAGGGCACAACTGGAGCTGGTCCACAGGGCTGCTGAATAAAAATGCATTACCAGAACTAAGAAGGGAAGTATCTTCCTGCTGCCATCATCTTCCAATGTCACTTCATTGTCCTTTGTTGATAAAGCCTAACGTTGTGCTAGCTGGCAGAGGAGAAAGGTTTACAGGGTCCAACTCCAGAATCACAAAGCAGAGCAAAGAAGGTTAATTTTCCAGCAGAGAAAACAGTAAATTGTTAACTGGCATAAATAACTAATAAATAACTCAAACTCAATAAGTCTAAAATTTAACTCATGATCTTCCCTTAAGCCTTGCTCCGCTGGCACTCTTTCCCATCTTAGTTAATAGCAACACCGTATTTGCAGTTGCTCAGGCCAAAAATTTTGACATCACTTTTGACTTCTCTCTTTCTTTCACATGCCACCTTCAATCCATTATCATTGTATCCAGAATCTGACCGCTCCTCGTCACTTCAACTGCAACCATCCTGGTCTAAACAACTGTCATTTCTTGCCTGTATTACTGCAGTAGACTCCTCACAGGTCTTCCTGTTCCATCCTTGTCCTTTACAGTCATCTTCTCACACAGCAACTAGAGTGATTATTTTTAAGCATTAGTTATATCATGTCCCTCTTCTGCTCAAAATCTTACAGTGGCTTCCCATGTCACTCAGAGTAAAGCCAAAGCCCTTACGATGATCTGCAATGTCCTAAATGATCTGGTTTCCAGTTTACCCTTCTAAGTTTTTTCCCCACTTCTTTCTCAGTCTGTCAAATACTGTATGATGCATGATCTATTTGGGAAGTCAAGTATTTTGGAATGGCTTAAGGATGTGGTAGTAAGAATGTATGGTGGGAAGAAGGAAAAGGAATATGTGGAACAAAGTATCTTTGTAAAATGTGAGAGATGTTACTGAGCATTAAATAAGATTACAGAGTTCAGAGCCTGGCATGAGGTAGGTATACATATATTGTAATAACACATACAATATATGATAAATTATTAGGCAGTTGAATAATATCAAATTTACATTTTAAAGGAATTCTAGTGGCTTTATAGGTTGGAGATAGGAGAGAAACTGGAAAGAGACAGCTGGCTAACAGCTAATGCAGTAATCTAAGGGATATATGGATGATGTCTTGATTTATGACAGCCGTGACAAAAGCAAGGAGGAAGTGGTTTTTCCATAAATGAACAAGATAAACGTAGAACATAAGGGAAGGGTAAAACTCACCCTTGTGCTGTTTGTAGTTGCGTAATGATGCCTCCAAACTATGTAGCGAGTTAAGAAGGATTAGTTTTTTAAAAGCATTGCTTGCATTTTTTGTTTCTGTCTCCTAGTAAATGGTCTGCATTCTTTATCATTACCAGCAGTGGTCCAGATTGATTCAAACAAAAACAAACCATACCCATTACTGTCGAGTCAATTCTGACTCATAGAGACTCTATAGGACAAAGTATATCTGCTCCGTAGGGTTTCCGAGACTGTAATCTTTACGGAAGCAGACTGTCACATCTTTCTTCTGCGGAGTGGCTAATGGGTTCAAACCCCTGACCTTTCAGTTAGCAGCTGACCGCTTAGCCACTGCACCACCAAGGCTCCTTATATATGTACATATTTGAAAGAGCCCTGATAGAGCAGTGGTTAAAGTTCTTGATTGCTAACTGAAAGCTCAGCAGTTTGAACCCACCACCTGCTCGCACAGAGGAAAAATGTGCTTCCATAAAGATTACAACCTTGGAAAACCTGCCCTTTAGGTTGCTATGAATCAGAATCAACTGGACAGCACACGACAACAATGAATTGATTCACTGTTAGGTAATTGAGTTATCTTAAGTTTAGAGGTTTTCATAAGGAAAAATGAATATATGAAATCAGATGGATTATTTGGTTTAAAAATAATTTTAGAAACTAGATACAGGTCTAGAGTCTCTGGGTAACATTAGTCAGCAATTCACTCTTTCATTTTATAGAATTCACCGAGTTATTTATTCTTGCTTATTTTCCTTAGAATGCATAAACTTGTGAAACCTTCTACTGAAAAGAAATATGTGGATCTTACTGTGTCATTTGCCCCAGACACTGATGGAGATGAAGATTTGCCTGGACCTCCAGTAAGATACTACTTCAGTCATGACACTGATTAACAGAAGTTTTCTAAAGTTACTCCAGTACTACTTGCTTTTTGGAAGGAGTACACTTGATTTAGAATCTAAAAATATCAGCTCATAATACTATGGATTTCTCCTTGAAGAAGCCTTATTAATTTAAAGGAAACACCAGTAGGAAACTACATTGAAGAATTGTAAAACAGTTTGGAGTATGGTGTATACTTGTCTAGTGCTTCATACATGGATATGATCACAAGCAAGTTTGAACTGGAATGCCGTTTCATAATGCTTACAAGAAATGTGTCTATTAACCTCTCTGGATAAAAAGAAGGAAAAAATATTTATCCATGACCAGAAGAGATAAAGAGCAAGAAATTGAAAGTAATACAGCTATCCAAACAGTCTAATCCTATTTTGTGAATTCTTTTCATTTAGTATTTGTGACCCATTTTTCTATACAAATAGTGTTTGGCACCCTGTACTTCTGATAACTAGGTTTGAGAATTTAACACCAGTGGAAAGGGGGAATGGTAGCAGTGGATGAAAAGTGGACATTTTAAATTGTGCAGTTAAAGTATACTCTCTATTACCTGTATGGAGCCCTGGTGGTGTAGTGATTAAGAGCTCAGCTGCTAACCAAAAAGTCAGCAGTTCAAATCCACCAGCTGCTCCTTGGAAACCCTATGGGGCAGTTCTGCTCTGTCCTACAGGGTCACTGTGAGCCAGAACCAACTCGATGGCAGCTAATAGCAACAACAACAATTACCTGTTAGTTTAACCGGAATTTGTTATATCACTGTTACCCAGAAATCAGGCTTTTTGATAATAGTATCAGTGTTGTAAGCCATGAGCAGTAGGTAAGATGACATACGTTAACTTTTGACTGAATGTTAACAGTATTGTGTGGACTCTTGACAACCCTTGTAAAGAATCCATGAATGTGAACAGATAAATGTGGCTAATAATTTGATTCTTCAGTATGCCTTCTAATATGGCTACTTTATTTATTTGAAACTCTAAACCTGATCGCCATAGTATATAAAACAAAGATTTTGTAAAGGGAGCGTCCTTAGAAATAGATGAAAACAAGAAATTAAAAAGTCTTCACTATTGAATCTTTTTTTTCTTCCAGCAGTCAAATGAACAGAAAAAAATTAATATTCATTTTTATTTTAAAGAGAAGCTTATTATTTTATTCTCCGTTTCCAAAAAGGAGGATGCTGACTAAAATAGAAATTTTTTTAAGTCTTTATTGATAGAAACTTTGTTTTCTGATATAAACTATTGCAGAAGTGCTTTCATTAAAATGATATAAAGTGCATTTACGAATGTAAACTCAGTGAGAACAGCAAGTGATTTATTTCTAAGGCTGTCATACATTCTAAAACAACTGGCATTTTATAACTATAGAGAGTCATTTCCCTCTCGCTGCTTTTCTTGATTCAGGCCATTAATAGGTACTATGATAAATTAAAAACTAGATTGATGTCAGTATTATTCCAATTCTGTCTCTTTTTACACTCTGTATTTACTTTCTTCTTATTTCGTGTACAAATAGTTTGTCAGCCAGCTGGATTGTTTCATTATTCTGTAAAAGTATCATTAAAACTACCACTTGGGAAAATATATTCGCGGGTCATGGGTGAATTCGTATGATTAAAAGATAATGTGTACATTGAGGGGTGGGGAGAAGTAGACATGAATTTAAAGGAAATGGCTACCTTGAAATAAGCCATTAATTTTCGTTCACCATGTCTTACCCTCTCCCATCATACATATCACAACTGTAATGCTTAAAATTAATGTTAGTTAAAATTGAAGCCAGGAAAATCAAAGCTTTGTGACTTGGAACTTGACTGGCTAGAAACAATAAACAAACTTTTGTATAAGAAGCCTTTTTCCCCCTTTCACTTTGTTTGCTCTATGAGAGTAACTGATATTTTCCAGGAAACCATTCATCAGTCCTTATAGGTGATCGGATAGCTTGCTTATATTTGATCTAAGTCTCCAGATCTCTTCAAAAGTAAGTTTAGAACCATGCCATCAATTCATATTTATAGACGTCAGAGCTTTACCGAATATAAACAAAATCAACAAGCATTAAGTTCATTTTGTGATTAAAACCAGCAGCCATTTTTGTCATTGCTTTTTTTTTCCTGTAGGTAAGGGATATTTCCATCATTTCTTCTGTTTAGTGCTACTGATCCGGAAAGCCAGGGTAAAGTTAATGATAGTTTTTTTCATTGTCTGTTTTGTTTATTTCTGTACTGTGAAATCACTGTTGGTGGTTAAAATACCAGATCCAAAATTTAATTATTTGATTTTGTACAGTACCACTGAGTAATTTTTTACTTACTAAAAATAAATTAAGAAAATTGACAGTATCTTTGTAAATGATGTCACATAGTTGACTCTAGAGATTCTGATTCTGCTGTTCATTTTGTGAGTAGTGTTTTGGTGTTCCCTAATTTTGAAGTTTTGCAGTTGAGGAGATACAGCAGTCACTAGGTATGGAGAGACGTTACTTCACGGTACTTTTGGCCTCCTAGAAACCCTGTTAAAACAGATAGGAGGAAATGGTGGTGACCATGTAAAACTTAAAGATCTGATAAAACCCAGACTGCTCGTTGGGGACTTTTAAAGTCCATTCCTTTATAGAGTTCAGAGCAATGATGTTACTTATCTGTAAGTTCCTCATAAATTGTCCCAAAGGTAGAACTTTGAAATAGATGTGTATCTTTGTTTTCATTCTTTATCTGTTACGGCACTACCTGGTGGTAACAGTTAGAAGGCATTAAAAAAATCAGCTATGTTTAAAGTTCACTATTTTATAATTAGTACAAATAAAGACCAAAAAAATTGTTCTCTTGAGATCGTGAAGAAAAATCTCTTGACTAGTGTTTTTTTCAACTATTATAATCATAAACACATGATGGTTGCAGATAAACCCTCGGTATGAGTTTAACTATTTTACTTTGTATAGATTTCAAAAACAAAAATCAGGAAGTTGAGATCTTGGGGTTCAAAGTCATCAGGTAATTTGTGTTCTTTTTTTTTTTGTCATGTGTTAGCATTTCTTTTTTTAATAGAGAAACACATATTCAAAGAGTACATAAAGTATAAAATATACAGTTTAAGAAATAATTTTAAAGTAAGTTCTATAACCAGCATTCAGGTCAAGAAATAGAACATTAACAGCTTCCCAACAGTTCCACATATGTCCCTTCCCAATCACAAACAGCTTCCCAACACACACTGTTTGTCCTGCCTTTTGTGATAACTATGGGCTTGTTTTTATTTATGAATTTACCACCTGTGCATGTAAACTAAGCAGTACAGTTTACTTTTGCCTGTTTTTGAAATTTATGTAAATACTGTATGTATGCTTTTGTGGCCCACTTCTTTCATTCAGTATTGTGTGATTCATCCATGTTCTTGCTTATAGCTGTATTTCATTCATTACTATTGCTGTATAATTTACCCTTGCATTAATATACCACAATTTATGTATTCATTCTGTTAACTGGACAATTTAGATGTTTTTAGTTTGAGGCAGTTACAGCTCCACAGTAAACATTATTGTATGTATTTCCTAGTGCAAATCTACAAGAGTTTCTATAGGTATGTATTTAGGAGTGGAATTGCTAGGTCATAGAGAATTCACATCTTAAATTTTACTAGATAATAAAATTGTTTCCTAAGCAATAGAGACTTCCTGTTTCTCCACATCTTGGTCAGCACTGGTATTATCAGATTTTTTTTTAATTTTACCAATCTGATGGATGTACATTTGAGGTTTTACTTTGCATTTCCTCAGTTAACAGAGAAGTTCACCACCTTTTCCTAAGTGTATTGATCATATGGACTTTTCTTTTTGTAAAGTGTCGTTTCACATCTTTTGCCCATTTTTCTGTTGAGTTGGCCATCTTTTTTCTTATTGATTTGTAAAAAATCTTTATGTATCCTGTCCTTTGTTGGTTATATATAGCTGCAGATATCTTCTCCCACTCCATGACTTGATTTTCCTCTCATGATGTTCTTTGGTAAAAATAATTTTTTAATGTTTATATAATGAGAAGTATCAGTCTTTTGTTTTAAAGTTAGAATTTTTTGTGACTTGTTTAAAAAATTTTTTCCTTCCCTAAGTCATAAAGATTCTCCTGTATTGTTTTCTAAAAGTCTTTAGTTTTGCCTTTCACATTTATGTTTTCAGTTCACAAAGAATTTTGTGTATGGTGGGAAGAGTCATCATTTATTGAAAAATCTGTTCTTCCCTCACTTTTCTGCATTCCTACCACAGTCAGGTATCATATTCATAAGTCTCTTTCTAATTTTTTTGTTCTTTTCTATTCTATCCCCGTGCCAGTACCATACTGTCTTTATCACTGTACCAGATACATTATTCTTGATATTTGACGAGCAAGTCCTCCCACCTTACTGTTCTCTGTGAGAGTGTTTTGGTTATTCTTAGCCCTTTTTTATTTTCAGTTCTCAAATTTCTAGTTGCAAATATGTAAATCTGCAAATTTGTCCCTTTTGGTGTTTCTAGTTCTCTTACCAAAATGTTCAGTCTTTTATCTACTTGAACATGGAAAGCATAATTACTTGGTAGTCTGTGTCTGATTGCTGAACCTTTGGTTCTGTTTTTGTTTTTCTTTGTTTCTACTAGTCCACTTGTTATATCTCCTTGTGTGCCTGGTTACCTTTAATTGTAGGCCAATATTGTATTTGAAAAATTGCTTGTAGAAATAATTTAATGCTAGGAGACTTTCATCCTCCACAGAGTTTTTTCCATTTGCTTCTGCTAGGTACTAGGACACTTAGTAGTTCAGAATCATTTTGATCCAGTTGCAGTGACTGAGATTTTTTGGGCCATCCACGTGGCTCAAAGGTTACCTGTATACTGCGATAGTGCTCTTAACTTCATGTTCACCCTAACTCCTAGGGTGCGACCCTAACTGTAATATATAAAATATAAGTGATTTCTGTATCTTGCTTTTGTTTCTGAAAACTCTACTAAATTCTCTAGTGATTTTTGTAATTTATTTGCAGGGTCTTTTGAATTTTCCATATAACCTTAATTTCGAATGACAGTTTAATTGATCTTTTCTATGATCCAGATTTTAGTTTTGTTGATCTATCCAAATCCCCAACATCTTCTCCATCTCGTGGATTGGTCCTGGCCTCTTTTTTGTTAAAATTGTTAATTTTATGCAAATCACTCCTTTAACTGCCTCCAAAGACCTATTCTTATCCTTAATGATTGTCCAAACGGTCGAATGAGACAGTTCTTCCTCATGTGCTGTTTCACCAACATAGGCCTTAATGATCTTCATCTTTATATATCCATGTCTAGAGCCTTCCACACCTTTTTTGGATTAAAACTTTCAGTGGCATGAGTTCTTTTGCTAGACATGTTGAGGGTATAAGCAGTGCAGGTGTTGCAGGTAGAGAAACTTGAACAACTCAGCTTCAAATTAACTGATTCTTCTTACGGTACAAAAAGCTGAATAAGATCACACTATAGGCCTAGTCTGCAATGAAGTTGGAGTCGTTAACAGCTGTCAGGTGTGCGCACAGTTCATTTGTCTGTGTCGTTAGAGTTGAACATTGCTCAACTTTCTATCCGTTGATTCCCAACACCAACACTGACTTCATTGTAAACTAGGCCATAGCCTGCTGTATTGAAGTGTTTTGAACAGTAAATCATAAAATTGAACATCTGCGAGTGAACATCCGAGAATGATAACATCAGCAAATTACGCACTGCAACATTGTATGTAGTACATATTACTAACAATGTACAAAGAAAAGATGGTTGTAATGTGGTTTGTCCTAACTATATCCTAAATCGGAGTACCTGTACAGGGTAAGAAAACCCTAAAAAAAAATTCCCTCAAAATAAATGATACGGTTTCTGTTTTCCTGAGCTATACACAACTTTTTTCTTTCTTTTTTTAATTTAGTGGTTTCTGTCTTGTAATGATTACCTACAGAATCGACTCAATGGCAACGGGTTTGGTTTTTATTTTTTTTATTACAACGTACATATCCAGATTCTGTATGACTAAAGTTGATCATTACTTTTACCTTTGTGACAGATTATATTTTCCAAAAACGGCCACAGCAATATTTCTTGTCCCATGTGCTCTTCTAGAAACTTGCCACCTTCCATCATGAGACAAAATCTGTTTCCACTCCCGTTGAACCTAAGTGGGACTTTACGGCTACCTCAGCTAATAGACTAGAATGCAGGATATTTAACTCTGCATTACTTCCAAGGTTAGGTCATAAAATACTATATGGTTTCCACTTGGTGCTTGCGCACTCTAGTTTGCTTGCTCTCTTTTGGAATGCTCACCCTTGGAACCTAGACAAAGCTGCGAAGAAGCCCAAACTAGCCCACACAGAGAGGAACTGAAGCCACAGGCCTACAACCGGCATCAGATAGATGCCAAATGTGAGTAAACAAGCTTTCAGATGAGTCCAGGCTCCAGACTTCATGGAGTGGACAGAAGCCGACCCTGTTGTATCCTGCCAGATTCATGACCCATAGAATCTGTAAGCATAGTAAAAGGTTGTTTATGCAACTAAGTTTTGAAGTTAATTATTTTGCATCCATAGTAACTAGAATAACTCTAATCCCTGACTTTCATACTATTATTGTATATTTTATTTCTATTATCATGTATGTTACTTCTGTTGTCCAGTACTATATTTTAACTCCTCAAGACTTTATTATTTTGTTTTTTTCAGTCACTGTTCATATATACGTGTATATGTATCATTTTCTTTGCTTTTCATCCCATTTTGTATCTCAGGCTTGCCATTTAGGGTAAAATTTCTTTCTATCTGAAATACATTCCCCTAGGGACCGCTAGTGGCATAATTGCTCACTATTTATGTGAAAAATCTTAATTTTGCTCTCATTCTGCAAAGATTTTTGCTGAATATAGAATTCTAGCTTGACCTTTATTTTCTTTCAGCACACTGGAGATATTTTTCTACTTATGACTTCCACTATTGCTGTTGAATCTGCTATCAGGCTAAATGTTGTTCCTTTCAAGGAAATCTTTCTCTTTGCTTTGGTTTTATGCAGTTTAATTGTTATGTATCTGGGTATGGATTTTTATTTTTAACTCCTTGATTCTGGATTTGTATCTTTTATCAGTTCCAAGAAATTCTCAAACGTTATTCCTTTACATATTGCCTTTCTTTCATTCTCTTTTCTTCTGTGAAGATTCTTATTAAACATATGGCAGATCTTATTCTGTCTTCCATGTCTCTCACCCTTTTCTGTGCTTTCCATTTGTTTGTATCTTGTCATGCTTTATTCTGTATAATTTCTTCTTACCCTTATTCCAATGCCAAACTACTGTTAAACCCATCCATTGAGTTCTTAATTTGGGTTGTATTTTTCAATCCTAGAATTCTATTTGGTTTTCTTTTTTTACAAACTTCTAGATCACTTTTTATAGTTTCTTATTCCCTGAAAATATTTTTTAGTATGTCTATTATTTCTTTAAACTGTTGGATAGTTTTATGGCCTATGTCTACAATTTTAATTTTTTCAAGTTTTTGTGGGTCTGTTTCTGT